ACACACGATTGTCACAAGAAGATCAAGATGGTATCATCTTGACTAAGATTTGATGAAATATTTCGTCAAGATTCAGTCATCTTGACCTCCTCGTGACAATCGTGTTACTTGGAGTAGAGCAACTTTAATCTAGGTTTAATTTTGTTATCCTCTTTTAATTCTTAAAACTAGAAACGCACTGGTAGAAATGGACACTAGTCCTTGCAACCATCCGACTTGTAAACACAAGTGATTGTTACCGCTCGACTTTCTTCTTCACACGACTGTCACGAGAAGGTCGAGATGATGTCATCTTGACTAAGATTTGACGAAAATTTTCGTCAATATTCAGTCGACATGACATCATCTTGACCTCCTCATGACAATCGTGTTACTTGGAGTAGAGCAACTTTAATCTCGGTTTAATTTTGTTATCCTCTTTTAATTCTTAAAACTAGAAACGTACTGGCAGAAATGGACACTGTCGTGTCCTTGCAACAATTCGACTTGTAAACATATAAGTAATTGTTACCGCTTGACTTTCTTCTTCTTCTGGGGCGCGAGGATCAGATCGGTGCTGTCGGAGTCGCTCTCCGACAGCAGATCGAGGAGGTTGATGGTCTCCTTCGGATTCGGCTTCTCCATCCTCGTCGGGAGCGTGCATCGCATGTCACGAGTCCGCGAGACCGTCGGACGGCCGTGGCCGATCGCGGCTTAACGTCATAACCTCCGCGGGATCCGCTTGTTGCTGCGCTACGCGGACGCGCGAACGGGCGTCCCGTTGGGGTCCTTATATCTCCTTCTCACCCGAGCGGCGTCGAGACTCTCTCAATTAGGCGGTCACTACGGCGATCGAAGTTCTTGCGTGCCGCGCTAATTTCCCTAAGTAATTTCACGAACTGGAGCGAGACACGCAGCTCTCACGCACCCACACTTGTCGCAACATAACCTACGAGGCGAATCTGCGCTCCTTTTTAACGCGCACCCTCTGCACTTTTCCTCGAATCCTCTCTTTCTCCCTCTTCCCTTTCGTACACTCTCTCTTTAATTTTCATCCCTTTCTCCTCAATAGCAGATCGTGTACTTGCCTTCGTTCTCAATGCGGAAAATGTAACACGGTGCAGCTGAAAGGAAACAACACGCTGATCGACAGCACTCCGAGCGACATCTCTCAGAGGGGCCTGTTCAAGGCACTGAAGAATTATATTTGTTAACCGTAGATATATTTCGAAATCGAGTTTTGCCTTCTTTGGCTGCGTTCGGGAAATGCGCTATCAGAGTAATGAGAGCTATGTAATCATTGCGTCGTTTTATTCTTGTTTTATGTTTATCTAATATGTATCTATGTTATGTTTGTCTAATAAATGATATTAGAATGACGCAGTTCCGATAGCGCGCTCCCCGAACGAGTCTTAACGTATTTGAACTCTGATATTTATTTTATCTTTTTTTCTTTCCTCTCCATTGTCGCATATATATTTATAATACATCTTATTTTCTATAACTAGTGTAACTGTAAAAATTAATGTTTAGAGGACAGGGTGATTTTCGGATGACTTTAAATTCCTATAGTTCTCAATATAAAACTTTGAGTATGTATATGTCATATATATATATAATAAAACGCGGATCTGAAAAATTTACTCCAGATCGCCCCAAAGCCGATATATCGGCTTTGTGTTTGAAGAAAACGGTAAAAAGATATTTTTTTCATTTTCAAATTCTGTCGTTGAAACTTAGAATAATTATTTTCATCAATTTTATAATGAAATATATGATATAAAAATACGTATATATTATATGAAAATTTTCAAAATAGAGAGATAAGAAATACAAATTATATTAATACATGATCAATACACATATACAATGAAATATTAAATAATTACTAAAAATTACCAATACGACTGAAGAATATGCACTAATAAAATTATTATTTTAGACGCGATAAAATATAAGAGCACTGATTACGTTAAATTCACTTGAATCATTAAACGCTAATAAATCAGCTTTCTGCAGTCCTTTATTAGCGGTTGACAAACATCTATTTTGCTTTTACACCAAAGAAAGGAAGTCAAATAACTACGAGAAATACGAAATTTTCTTGAGCGAGATTTGCCGACGAAAAACATTTAGATACTCCGAAAATAATAACAAAATGAAAACAAAAAATGAATATTTAAAAAATTGTTGGCGACGCGAAGATCTCTTTATGTTGCACTCGATATGTAGGATATTCTTTAGAATATATTTGTGCTTTATTGAACTCTTTTACGCATCAGTAGATTCGAATATTTGCAGAAATGTCACGCGCTGCCGTCTGGCCGTTTGGTTGGCTGGATGTGACACAGCCGAATTTCAAACAACATCAGCTATGCCGACATCTTGCCTTCTAGACGTCCAGTCAAAAAAGAAGAGAAAAATCGAAAAAATATATTAAATTACAAGCCTTGGGTGAGCTCTATAATTCGTGTCAAATCATGCAGAATTCCATTTATTTATTTTAAAATGTTTGCAAGATAAGAATCTGTCGAAATCTTTATATTAAAAATTGTTTAACGTTAGAAGAGTTTATTCAGAATAAGTAAATAAAAATCTAAAAGGTCTTGGTTAGTTTTAATGTTTTGTGTTCGTACTTACTTGATCAATGATGACTGGATATGCTTCATTGGGACTATTCGCCAATCTCATTGTTTGATAAAGAGAAAACGTAAGGTAAACGTACCAGTGGCTGAACATGTATCTATATCTGAACACGTACACAAAATTTATTAATCTCAAATACTTTTTTTATTATAATATCAAAATTTAATTGTAAAAATATTTAAAGATTACAATTAAATTATAATATTATGAAAAAAATCATTTAAAAATAAATTTTTGTGTACTTGTTTAGCTACAGCTACGCAGACACGTTCAGCCACTGGTACGTTTACCTTAATCGCGCGTAACACTGGAGGACATTGAGAGCCAAAACTATTTGATAGCGATATCACATTTAATTCCGAACTCACATTGCAAAATTACAATTGACAATAAATTTCGCAAATTATTATTTCGTATTATTTTCAGGCGCAGCTCGAATGTCCCGTGCCTCTGAATTTATAAATCCGACTTCTCAAGAAACTTGACGATGGATGGAGAACACAGTCGTTAGTTTGATTAAAATCGAGAAAAATAATAAGTTTCTGGAAAGTCGGAGGTCGAATTGTTTGCTCGTCGGCACAACCTTCGTCCTTTAAAGTTTTATTGGCTGATTTATTGACGCCGTATAACAGACCGTTTTAGACAGACCGTTTTAGGCAGACATAGATGTTTGCGCTGTTTCCTAAAAACACTTATCATTCTCTTAAATTCTAAAAAGATGATAGAAAAGAGAATTTCGAAGATAATCAGCGTGGCGTTTCCGAGATTGTTCACGATTCAAGATACCACGGTGAAGAATTCGATAACGACGGGGGGCGATTCTCAAATCTCGAACGCACAAATGCCGAAGGCGCCTCTGCACCTTGCACGAGAGGCCGGAGGTTCGCTGAAGAACTGGTGGTGTGGGCGTTCGGTACCTTCGAGACGTGGACGTAAGGACGTGGCGTGTACCTGTCTACACCAGGAGCGGCCTTTAGGGGCACAGGAGGGGGTTCGTAGTCTTCCGTCGTTCCAACTTCATTGGCTGGTGCTGAGATGTTTATAGGGGCCGGGGCTTCTTTTCGCGCCGCTCTCCATCGCGGATCATCGCTTTCCGTTGCCTCGTCGGGGGTCACAAGGCGCTAATGAAGAGCCCGCTACATTCTCGTGCACCTACACCCGCGACATTCCTAGAAGTCCTCGCGATTGACGCAGTTATAATTATTAGTAACGTCGATCTTGTTTTCCGAAGAAATTGCGAAAGATGGAGAAGCGTAATAGACTACCCGCGATTGAAAGTATTTTAAATTCAATAAGCGTACTCGACGAAAGACTTGAAATAAATCTCATAAATTATATAGATCTCATTAATTATATAAATCTCATAAATTATAAGATAATCTCTTTATTTTAATTATTCATTCGTTGAACTCGAGTGATCTGCCTTTTGTTAAGAGAAAGGAAAAGACTTACAACGATATAAAGAATTGATTAACTGTAATTTCTGAGAAATTTTACTTGTATTAAAACCGTTGGAAGAGATGGTCTCGTGATCCATGCGTAATGCAAATTAAACTTCCGCCAATGCGATAATTTCGGTGCCAATCGGTATACCATCAACCGGAAGCGTGTATCCAAAACGCGCTTTTCGATAGAACCCCGCCGGAATGAGAATCTCAGTCGCGCGCGCGTAAAACGCCGCTCACGTTCGCGGGATCCTAATGCTCTTCGTGACTTCCGGTACCGGGGCGGACTCCTCGCGCGCCACCGAAGGAGTCACGTGTCGCTGTCGGTGACCGGATATGGCGAAGAAACGGACGGCCAAATCGGCTCGGCTCGGCACGGCGCGTCTCTCTCTCTCTCTCTCTCTCTCTCTCTCTCTCTCTCTTTCTTTCTCCTCATGCGAATCACGCGTAACCCGTGTACCAAATACCGAGCATCGGCACCGCGGTGACATCATACCCATTGTGTACACAGGCCGAGCGTTCGCGTCCGCGGCTTATTTTGCCGCGCATCTTCGCCTAGACCGTCGGTCATTATCATTCCACCATGGTGGCATCACGGAACGGGGATATTGGAACCGGTATACGGTTTCGGATTTCGACGCTTCAGGCACGCGAAAGCCACGCTTACTCGCGGAGCGACGCAGGCCGGCGCGACGAGGTCTCTCTCGGTTTCTTCATCAAAGTTTCAGTTCCGCATCGATTCGCGCGCAAACCGCAAAACTCGCCGGGGATCGTTAATTACGCGATTTCGTTCTCGGGTAAATTACTTTTCGGTGAATTACTTACCGAAAAGCGTCCTGATTTTCCCCTCGGAACGAATATATATAAGACGCAAGATAATCGATTGGAGAACGCAATTGTCAATGGTCGTGGTGGCAGCCAAGATACTTCTCGTAAATTTCTCGGTCTCTTTCACTTCTCCTCGCAGCGAAGAGTATAAGCTTCTTTCTCTCGAGCAGCAATAGGAAAATTCCTCGTCTCTGACATCGGCGGCGGTATCGAGACATTGCATCGCGCATTGATCATTCCTCGCGCATCGCGATTAAGAATGCGACGAATTTACATCGCCGCGCGGATATACGACGTTATACCTCTCGCGAGACAGCTTTTTATACGTAACGGCGAGGTGAAATATCCGAAATACGTCGGTCCATCGAACATCGGAGGATGAAGCGATCTTGATTCCCATCGAACTGAGACCCAGGCTAGAATCGGCCGGGGGGTTTCGATTTATAGGTATACAGAACTCCGCGACGAGTTTTCGCGCGACTTCCTGGCGGCGTGGCGACGCGAGAAAAAACATTTTCGTGGGAAATGAGATATTGTAACCGCCTTCCTCCGGCAGGTATACGCCCGCCCAGGCGTCTCAGGTAGCGAAGGTGTCCCGACGTTATCGAACAGCTGTATAAACTTGGCGCCCTGCGTTGCAGAAGGTTTAGGTTTGGCGCGCGCTACAGCCGCACGATGCTGCAGCTATAATGTATGCGGATATAAAACGTATAACGCGCGCTTAAAAGACACGTTTTATCGATGCGCAACGACGCACCGAGTCTGGATGGAGGTGTGCTCGTATATTCTATTCATATTTCGGTCGAATTATTTCAAAACGACAATAATTAATTCGAGCGATTCTATTGCGATCAACCACGCTTAAACTCTATACACTGAAACTTTCGTGGATATCAGATAGAATTTCTTAGATATTAAATTTCTCGTACACGTGTAAACCTCTCAGTTTTCGGGACAGACATATACTTTCGCGGGAAGAAATTCGATAGAATTCAAAGACCGATTCCGAAGGTAAAGAATTTCTGCGTCGAGTATAATTTTTATATAAATTCTTCCTGAATCGTCACAATTTTAATTGATGAATTTCTTCCCGAGCCTTATTATCTACGTCGAGTCGACTTATTCTTATTACTTCCTCTTTCGCAGGCCAAGTATCGAAACTGGAAGACTCACCTCGCTGGACCCCCTTGGACTCACGTCACCGGAACGTAAACTCGAGAGATCTTCAAGGAGCAAAGAAGCTTCTCGCGACACATAATCTTCCATTTGAAAGAGGAAACTGCAGATACTTCGGGAAAATAATGAGCTCGTCGATCGTGGATCAAGGTAACTTCGTCGTTCGGCAGGCGATTGGCAGACACGCCGAGGAGCCGTCGCGGCGTTCCGTCGCGGAGAAAGTCATCGCCGGCAACAATGACGACGGCTGCCATCGTCGTCGCCATCGCCACCACCACCATCGCCACCACCACCACCACCACCACCACCGTCGCCAACCGCGTCTTCGCCGTCATAGTCATCGTTTGGTGCCGTATTCACCGGCGCACAGGAAAGGCGAGGAAGAAAAGGAGGGGAAAAAAAAGCGCCACTGGAGGAACAATTAATTTGTACGCGGAACACGTACGCGCGCGGACACGCACACGCGAACGACCGCCGCTGATGGAACGCGCGCCATACGCGCGCGTTCTCCACCTTCCTCCATCCGGTGTACGGAAAATATTCGGCTGCCAATCGCGGCGGTCCGGGGATATAAATACATGCCGGGTATACTCCTCTCCTGCCGGCCGGGCCGTTTAATTAGAAAAATTCGTCGATAGGTTTTCGCGGCCGCCGCGGACCCCCCGCAAGAGCGGCCAGAATGAATGAAGAAACGCGCGCCGGGCGCGCGCTCGTACGGCTTTTGGCATATTTTTAGGCTGCAGGAGGCGTTTCGCGCGGTTCATTTCAGGCGTACTGCTCGCATCGTTAAATTCTTTATCGCTCTCGCTTAGACGCGCACGACGCCGCCGCGGGAAACGATAAAGATTAAGCGGAAATAATCGGAACAGGTTGCTACCATGCTGCAAGCAGTAGCGCGGTGCAAACGGTACCACATGAATACGAATGGTATACGGGAGAACGAAAAATGCGAGTAGTCGCGACCAAAGATCTCCAAAGAGGGGATAATTTGAGTTGCTACGATTTTTGCGAATATTCCAAAATGTGAGAATCCGATCTCTCCGGCAAATGTAACGACGTTACTGCGATCAATCGGCGATATTAGTAGCGAGAGAGAAAAGGCGGATTTACATCGTTATATCCAGAATCGTCATTTCCCACAGCGGAACAATGCGCAACATTGACGGGCGAAGAGAAGGAACGGCGTAGCATGGCAGAGATCCTCTAGAAGTAGGCCGTGCAAATGAGGTGGACTCTGTGGAACGCGTTTACTATAACCGAGGCAACCGGTCGCGCGCGTGTTAATTGCGCGAACAAGCGCGGCCACAGTTTTGTAGGGCGCGACGCTCCGCGGCATCGACGCGACGATTCGACGCGAGCGAGGAATTAAGCGTGGTTTTGGGATAACAAAAGGGGAGATCTCGCGAACGTATACATATAGGATCGGGAAACGGGGAAACGTTTCGCGAAAAAGCTTGGAAGCTTTCGTCCCCGATTTTCCCTCCGAGATCGTCGATCGTTGCTCGGATGGAAAGGTACGTTCCCGGCCGGCCGTTATTAGCGCGCTAATAATTAAGAGGGGCGGTAATTAACTCCAGTTGAGACTTGAGTGATAACACGGCACACCTGCGGTCAACAAGTCGTTTTACAGGGCGCTCATAATTGCGCGGTGTCTTTTAATTAGCGAAACGCCAATCGGCGCGGTGTCTAATATCCGCACCTCCGCGCTTCCCTCGGGATCTACGGCGTATCTACGAACAGAATTCAATTCTTCTCTTGATGTCTCACGACGAATGTAAGAAATTAAATGGTCCGAGGGAAGAACTCGTGCAGGCTTCTTCGTCGTCCGGCGGGACCGGGTTCCGGATACGTCGGATGAGATGCAGCACATCAGCGATCGAAAAAAACGTCGCGAAACATTCACAAAGTCATTCCGCGATTACGCGAGTCATTTTATGACTCTAGAAGGATTTCTAGAAGCGCCGATGCGACGCCTCATCCGGAGCCAAACGTTCGGATTAACAAGATTATCGCGGCAATTCCGATCGCGCTCCACTCGACTCCAATTAGCGCGGATTTGGTATATCCATCTCGAGCACCACACCCCGAGCGCACCGAGCGCGGTACCAATTGACACCTCTCGCGTTTAATTCGCGCACGCGGATCGTCGAGCGGCGATCGGTCGGCGCCGATAAGCTGACGCGACGCGCGGGTCACGAAGCAAAAGACGCACACCGGGCGCGTGTGTGCGCTTATGTAACATTTTTATCGTTTTATCGGCACATTCAAAACAGACCTCGCGACAGCTAATTGTCGCCTCCGTGAGAACCGTTCCGATACAGAATCGCCTTTGAAATTGCTGCATCCCATCCGACACGAGTCTAATCCGATCGCGGATCAGCTGTTATAATTAAATCAGTCATAAATTATTGAGAAACAGCTCGCGTGTATCCAAGCGAATTTCTTTCTACGTCCAGTTTCAACATCGATAGACTTTTTCAGTGACTTTTTTTTTTTTCTTTAACTCGCGCGAGGAACTCGCCGTCTCGGTATATTGAAAAAGCTCTTCTTTATCGCGACGATACCACGCCCGAGTGCCCCGCGCGCGCCTTATCGCGATCGGGCACACGTGAGGAAATCAAACGTCCCGTAAATATAACACTGTCGGCATGTTTATAAATCCGCATGAAGGCCCGGTACTCCCCGGGGTCTGACTTGTCCGATACGAGGAATGCGTTGAATGTCGATTGAGAACGGCCGGCCGCTGAGAAAACAGCGGACAAGAATGGATCCAAGTGGCAGCCGTTTTAGCGCTATATAAATGCGTTCTCGAGCGGTATTCCGATTATTTTGGAAAAAGAGGGGAAGGGAGAGAAATGAAGATCTCACATAGAGAGAATATTTTACTCACCCGAAGATCCGTATACGTGGCTTGGTTTTCTAGGCGTGATAATTGCTCGACCGCGCGAATTTTTCGGGTCATTCCGTCGTTTTCTCCTCGTCGCGAGTAAATGTTCTTCTAATAATATTCTTCTAACGCGACCGATATCGCGCTCCTCGCGAGGCTCGCAACTTTTGAGGAAAATCCACGCCTCGCGCTTGCGGCCCACGCACACGCGCAATCACAATGGTAACTCGAGCACGACGTGGAGATCAGTGCGACGGCACGACGGTCGCGGTTCGTTTTAACTAGGAAATCGTTCTCGCCTTACAGGATGCCGGTGCGTCAATATTGACACATTTCTTACGAAACGCGAGAGAACCGGGCTTTCGTCCGTCCTCTATCTCCGGTCCTCCTTTATCTGAGGAATGCCGAAAAAACCCCGCGCGCGGCATGCAGACTCCCGACGAATGTGAATTCTTCTCTCTCCAACCCTAATTCGATCAGATATTTTGAATCTACCGATGATTGTAATTAAGTACAATTAGATATTAATGTATCTACATATAACATTAATGTATCTACATATTAATGTATCTACATATAATATTGTATGCATTTAAATGTTGATGTTTGATGTGTACTTAATATGTTATATATCAATAACATAATTTATGTAAATACTTATTAAATGTATAATAATTTATAAATTAAATATTAATTAGAATATAATTTGAGTTAAACCTTAATTAGAGTTTATGAATTAAGTATTAATAATAACACAATATTGATAATATAATAATTATTAATTACATACGCACTAATTAACGCTAGTTACTACTAAATTATATTAAACTCATTCTTTTGGATAGCTTGAAAAACAATTACACATGTCGCCTCTTGTATGCTCGATACGAATGTCTATGTGATCTACGTTACGCGAGTGAAACTTGAATAACATAACAAACGTGGAAGAGTGTTGTTCAGGAAACAGGAAATTGATTCGGCGAACAAAAGATTCGTTGGATAACGAAGACAATTCCGTATTGATTAAACGCAACAAGTCGCGTAACAGTAACGAATGAGACTGTTTCTGTAACAAAATCGAGAGAAGAAAAAACAAGTATCAATACGTCGGTACGAACAGTTTTAGCTATGATTAATATCGCATCGATTTATTCACACTTGGCGCGACTCGTATTAACCGGATTTACCTATCTCCATTGCTACTCTGCGCTACGGGAAATCTGATAAAAATCTGATGAAGGAAAGCGAAGGAAACGGCTAGTGTGTAATGTTAATTCTTTATTTCCTCTCTCATATAATATCTTAATCATGTAACAACAACTGCCAAGTAACAATGTCGCAATATATGTATCGACAATTTAATATAACGCAAGCAGGAACATACGCCTGTGTATAAATAAATTGGCAGGGGGGGAGGAGAGACAAAAAACAATATATATTACTATCAATCCTTATCGAACGTTAAATTCCTCGAACTGAATCCCGCGACGCGCGGGTCTCATTCGTGGTATTTTATTACTAAAGTGCCGCCCTGCACGCACAGAATAACGGAAACGAATTATTAGGCAACTACAATTGTCACGCAATGGATGGATCCTTTTTCCTTTGGCCGGTACTCGGCGTAAAACGAAGTTATCGAAGTACAGATACTGACATGTGATTCAGAATGACGACGCAAGTGGACCACGCCTTCTCACGTTTCTTAGGAACGATTGCGTCCGTTAATCTAGAATTCCGAATCGCCCGTCGAGAAACGGCGAAGAGCGAGGCAAAGAGAACTTCGTTTTACTCCTAACAATAAAATAAAGACCCTGTTAACAAGCGCTCTACATCTCTTTCTCTCTCTCTCTCTCGCGTTACGGTAACGCGATTGGTAATTACAGGAGCGCGATCGTCTAAGAAATTATGGAACACATAAAAATATCTTTGTAAAGATAAGATGGTAATAACGTGGAAATTAAAAAAGAAAATGAAATCAGCGAACCAGTAATTCGATTATCTTCAGGCCGCAATAAATGACTATAGAAATGTTAAAAATCGTCAAGTATTGTTCATAATCTTTGTGCACGAGAATTAAGTAGAATTGCGATCGTAAATTTGTGCAATTAAGATTAACGCTGGCTAACGTTAAACACTTGTGCTACAAACAAATTAACAATTAGATAAAACAGTCGCAGTCTAATACGAATTATTCATCACATATTAAAAATATAAGTTAAACATTCAAAACGTAATAAGAGAAAAAAACAACTTGAACCGCAATACAAAAATATATTACATAAAACGTTTCCCAATACTTATATTAGAAATGTTTAATCCTCGTTAACGCATCGTATATTTTGCTACTGCCTCTCTTGCCGCTATAATATTTTATATAAAACTATCATTATTATTTTTTTTTTATATAACGAATCACGTTGTACTATTTATTCTCGCAATATAACTCTATATTCATACGCGGTTTTGTCAAGCATCGTAAAGTGAACAATTTGGTAAGTTACGTAAAGTAACTTTGCGACGTAGACGTCTTCTATTAAGCTACCAGCGATATGTCTATGGACTCGTGGAAAAAACTTCATTACGCGAAAAGCGATATTTTTTATTACTTGAAATTGCTAAATTGAAACTATGTCCTGCTAATCAATTTTAGTTCGAGACAAGATTTTTGTGTTCACTAAGTGACGAAGGAATTCGAAGATTATTCGTTAGAAAAAATTTGATATCAATTGCGAATTGTGAAAGAGATGAAGAAGAGTTACTGTCTTAGGAGAATCAGGTGTTATTAGAAGAGAATAGGAATAACAATTACTCTTAATTGTCATGCGATGGATGCCTTCATGCAAATATTGTTAGTGCACTATTGTGAAATAGATATTTCGTATGCACCAGCAAATATGTAATTATTAAAAGTATTTTTAACGTGGGCGAAAGAAAAAGCAATAGTTTCATCGAGAGGAAAGCTGCACAGAGAAATAGAGAAGTTAAAGATTTAAAGATATACTTGATACCTTTACTTACGGTAGGAAAGAGATAGTAAAAGAGAAGTAGTAGTGCTGGAATACATGAAAAAAAAAAATCTACTAAAAATCGTTAACTCGTCTCAGGTCTAACGATCTAAGTCTGAACTTCTTTGATATGCTATTAAAAATATGGACTTTTTTCCCCTTAGAACTAGGGAAGGAAAAAAAGGAGGAATGGTCCGTAGAGTGTGATTGCGAAAAATAATAAGCAGCGAGTTCCTATAAGATGCCGATATTCGACATCGTGACTGTTCAAATTCATTACATGCAAGGTGTAATGTAATACTCGGAAACTAAGAATAGAAATGGCAACGTATTAAGCATATCCTGCGTATACGTGTGTGCGTATGTGTGTCTGCATATACTCGAAAAATCCGTTCTATTATACTACTCGAAATATAAAATTCCTTTAAAGCGCGTATTTGATTTGATCTTGTATCTCAAACGACTTTTGCGTTCGAAAGTCGCGATCACGTATCTAAAGTATCACGATGTAATTGTAAAATACTTATTCGCCCGTGTTGCCGTTTCTGACCGTCCGTTGTGAAGCGACTTCGGCGCGCTCGTGGACGACAGCTGTCGAACGCTGTACTCTGTACCGAACAACAGATTTACGGGCTATTAAACCGTGAAATTGTTGCGCTTAATGCAAACTCTAAGGTATATTAAAGCACGTATTATGGTCTACGAAACGTCTTACAGACAGTACTTGCTCGCAATTTTTGTAAAATGTGTTCAATAATGTACACACTAATGTGTGTATATGTGTATGTGTGTGCGCGCGCGCTAATCATGCGATTATTATCTAGCCATCTCGCGTGAGACGGCAATTTAAACTAGTACTGACATTTTGATCAGTGAATTTGAAGCGTACTAAGAGAGCGTACGTCACATGCAATCACAGTTTCCTATATACCGTATGTATAATTCGAGTTTTAGATTTTAATGAAACGTATCTCCCTCGCACCGACACGGCATTTTGCTCCTCGTGAAAATTATAAAATCGAAAGATATAATGCATGGAATCAGTCTAAAGCTTATGATATGCAATATTATCGTACGCTTCTACGAAAAAATAATCGTAGTTATCACCTTTGAAAGCGCCCAGGCAAATATACGTTATATTATCTCTGTATATGATTTTTTTTTTTAAGATATCTCTCTTTACGATTTAAATCTGAATCAACGTCTTAGGCTAGTTTTTCGACATCGTCTCTATTAACGATAATATGCAAGTAAAAAATTCATATATAAACTCGGAATGGAAACGTCTTTCCACGTTCCATCCTCTCTCTCTCTCTCTATCGCTTTTAACGTTATCTCAATTACCTCTGAAGTCGTAATATTTTAGGAAGTTTTTGAAGGCTACGTCTAAGTATTGAAGCGATATTACATCGCCATGGCGTTTAGGTTTCGTACTCGAGTCGTACGACGAAAAGCAATAGTACCGTTTTATTAGGCTACTTAGTTAATTCGCGAGAGACGATCCGCCGTCAGGACAATGTATTGCTTAATGTTGCTAGTCACGTTTACCGCAATCAATTGTCCTATTGTCCTATTGTCCTTGTCTTACAGCTCCCATGACTTATACGACGCCGTCCAGGGAGCGATGACGGTCCACGGCGGGAACTGCGCCAGAAACTTCTTAAATCTCAAAGATCTTTGGCGTTCGCCGTGTAAGAAGTGTCCGGCTAATGCGATGGATAAGCACGGTCCTTTCTGCACTGCAGACATCTGAAGACATAAACAAAAATCAGTAATTCTCGACGAGAGTTTTCTACACGGTAGAACGAAGAGAAGCACGTATTTAACAAAACTTACGTTCAGTTCGATAGAAAATGTATATGGCACGCAATCTGAGGCACATGCGTAATAAATAAAATAAGTCTCTCTGTCGTTCCACATTGGACCTTGCAATGGTTTCTCATCGAGTATAGACCATTTTTTTAGATGAACACCTTTGTAGGGGGACAAAATTATACCTATGTGGTCCGGACCTAAACAAATCAGAGGGTAACATTTGACTTTTGCTCTGCGAAGATACGTGAAACTGAAATTAACTTAAACGTGTTAATGTCTTACCTGTAACGTTAAAGGTGAAATTAACGATGTTCTGTTTCGTAGTCTTGGAAATCACCTCGAGATTGGTGGGAATACTTAGGAGCGGAGCAGGTCCGGGTATCCAGGTAGTTTTCCTGTAAAAGAAAAGTCTTCTCAGTTCGTGCGTTAATATTCCAATAATACGCTGATCTGACTTCGATATGTACCACAAGAAAGTTGTGACCGGCAATAAATACGGAAAGCCGCAGTATAATTCCTTCTCGCAGTCCCTGACCGTTGGCGTCGCGGCAGCTACTTCAGGTACTATTGATTCTACGCTGCGAGGGCTATTCATATCTAAATCCACTAACCAGTATCCCGTACCGGAATACCTTTCGCTACCATCTGGACCATAATACTGGCGTTTACTATGCTGCAAATCAAGGATAAAAAGATGATACATACGAACCTATATTATTTTCCATCGAAACGAGAATTTTCAGGAAAGAGGAGAAAAGATAACTAATGCGTTACCGCGATCATAAATCGTTGTGGAGCAGGCGACAACGGATCACCACTGTAAGGGAATCCAAGTGGTGTTAGAATTAACACAGCAATAGCGATTAAGAAAATTCCAACAATCACACTTATAATTCGTTCTGCATTCTTTATTAGAAGCACTATTGGCAACTGAAAATATTGTGAGTTACTTTTTATGACGAAAGACATTTACGAGACGTTTGTACAAAATTAAAGGTACAAAAATTACGTCACGTGCAAATAATGTAATTGTTGAAGCTATTAATATTTTACCGTGAAGCAAAACAGTTGGCAGAATAATATCGACAGCATGTTAGCCATTGCAACTTCGGAATTAATACTGCCACCGGATCGTCCCATTATTGGGATGAAGAGATAGAGAGCACCGAGCGCTAAATAAAACGACTGTATGTAAGATAAACTCAACGACCCCAATTGGTAACAAAGCCATTTCCAGTCTATAAAATTCATAAAAGTACATTCAGTCGAGTATTAGAGTATTTTTTAAATAATTGGCACAGAAAGGTTATCAGGGTTAGCATATTTTAAAAAAAGGAAAAAAAAAGAGATTAGGAACGAGTTGCGAGCTGTCCTCACCTCTCCATTTGCTGAAGAAATGGTGTCGCACAATATTTCCAACCGACGGGAATAGGACCCAGTGGAGCGGTATGAAGCCCGATCGTATTGCAAATGTGACACATACCAAGAGAATCGACATCCATATCAGGGAATACGCGTCGTAGTACATGTGATACAAAACCCAAGCAGAACCAACTTCCTGCAATCGTGAATTGGTATTACTTGTACGCTGCGATAAGCGCGTATTTCAAGCTCTCGAGAGAATATATTTGGCGAAATATATTCAATCGAAAACATAATTTTAAGAAAATCGAAAGTGCTGCAACAAGGAATATATTTCTCGTTACCTTTTTCTGCCTCGATCCTACTTGCAGGATCACGATCATCGACACAAAAATGGTTGGGCAAACGTACAAGAAAAACAGCCACGCCGGTCTCGCGTACCAACTCATCACTTTGCCCAGTTTGGTCAGGATCAGGCCGATTAACGTGCAAGAAAACATGGATGCCAACCACGAGATCATGATTACTCCGATGCACATCAGCACATGTCTCATGTACATCCATTTCTTAATATCTGTATCCGATAACGCAGAATTCGATTGTATTATTCAGATTTGTTCGAGAAAATGAGTACCGATTTTTTTTTTTTTTTTTTCGAGGTCTACTGGCGCAGCCGGATCTAAATAATAATTATATATTCTTACTTCTACGTGTACTCTGCATATTCAAATGGATAGAGTATCCAGCTATAAATATACTGGCGATATTAACTGTACTGGCAATGTACTGCGGCCATCTAATAACGAATGCGCCCAAGAAGTCGAAGAACACGAGACTGCCGCGTGTCTCTTCCGCGTCCGATAAATGGTCGCCAAATATTATTCCTTGTGTCAAGGCGAGAATATTATCGCCGGTTCGTTGCAAGGCGCCCAGCGGTATCTGATCGACGTTATCGAATCTGGTGTGATACACGTAACCGTTTTTCGACCATGCAAAGTCCAAGCCTGCGTGTGAAGTTTTTAGATTACACATTAGTGAAAATTTGACCGTGAGCAATAAATTTATCGAAACATATCTGTACTAAAAAAAAAAAAATCGACAATTTTTTTTTTTACGAACCAGAAACTTTTCCGAAGTCTCTGAATATCCGAAAGTCCGTGTCACCAGGTACTATACCGCTCTCAAATATCTCTTGAGCCAACGACGACGCGTAAGGATATGGTACGGATTTGGCGTAAACCTGACGAACGAGTCGGTGGTAAGAAAATTAATTTTAACGCTAACAAACGGCAGAGAGAACAATCTATCGCGGGACAACGTACTTCGAGAATCCAAGGATTGTGGGGCCCAGCTTGAAACAGCAGTTCGCGACCACCGGCGCCGCATGCCTCCAGATTTATGAACATTCGCACGTTCTTTGCCCAAGGGTGCTGCGTTATGAAGCCATGAGACGCCTATACAGTTGCGTACAGAATATCCGTTATCACAGTTGTAGGACTAATCAATAAGCCGGAATTATCGAGATTAGATATCAAATTAGTGGAGTACCTGCAATATATTTTCCTCGGCGCCATTGAACAAGAATACAACGCTGTGCTTCAATATTTTTGGGCTCTGAGTTATTATCCGTAAAATTTCCAGCATTACCGCACAACCAGCACCGTCGTCAGAGCCACCTTGAAGTTATAATGTTAGCCAATTATTCCATGGAGATAAGATACTACGCCTATTACGCAAAGCGCAACGTTTTGCGCCATTTTCATCAAGCGTCATTTTCTTACCTGGGCTCTCTAAAAACGAATCAAAATGACAATTAAGCAGCAAGCTGTGCATCGTAGGCCGGTGAGGTCCGACTTTGACAATGACGTTCTGTACATTTCTATAGACATTAGTCATGCCGTCGAGAAACTTAAGTGGAAACGCGCCGCTGTGCTTCGTTACGTTAAAGAGAATCCTGTGATTCTCGTGCGCCGTCCTCATCGCATCGTTGATCGTTGTCGTTAGAAACTTAACAGCTAGGACCTCGTTCTCGTAACTGCCGGAGATGCGGGGCCCGATCGACGTGAGATTCACGACGTGACTGCGTGCACGCTCGGCGACGAATCTCCCCGGGTGCAGGCCCTCCGTGTCGACGGTGATCGGATCGGGCAGATTTCTCTCCAGGACGATTATGATGAAGGACACGAAGAGGAAGTACGTGAGAACGAAGAGGAGATGCTGGGTGTCGTTTGGCAGTGCATCCTGCTTCCTCGAGGCGATCCTGTTCTCGTACGGTAACTCGGTCGACGTTCTCTTCGCCGTGTGCTGCTGTCTCAGTCTCACTCCGTCCCTCTGAAACTGCAGAACCGCGCGATAATCATTGTGTTTGTATAAATGAGCACCGTCGTGCACATGCATAACGGGGGTCCGTCCGCCGTTCCGCGAATTTTCCTGAACGAACGGCGCGATCTAGAGAGAGCCCGCGGCAGGAGGGGAGAGAGGAAAAATGAGGAAGGGAAGCAGAGGAACGGCACGCTCCGGGAGGCCTCGGAGCCACCGCGCCTCGCATTTAGACTCACCATTTTAGCGAAAGACGCTAATGACAGAGAAAAGGCACTTTACGAATCGCCGGGTACGCCACCGGGATTCCGCGAGCGGGCTACTGCTGCGTCAACGGGTCAACACCACCGCCGCCGTTGCGTTTACTCGGTCTCGCTCGCCGCATCGGAAAGCGTACAACACGCGTCGCACCGCATCGGGCACTGGCCAGCGGTCTGCGGTAGCGCAGCGCAGCACCACACAACCCGAGCCGCCTCTTTCGTGAACCTCGCGCGGCGCGCCGCGCGGACAGAAACGGAGGAGCGATGCAGCAGCGATTGTGGCGCGTCGACGTGCACACATGTCATATATACCCGCAACCCTCCCCTCCCCCTTCGCATCATCCTTATCTGTCGCACTCGCCTTTCCTTTCTCTCTCCGCTGGCACTCGCGCTACCTTCCGTCTCCCTTCCGCTCTCGCCGCTTTTATTGATTGCCGCTCTTAGTGACTCGGTTATCCCCAGGTGTGAAACGTCAATATTCAATGTTCTTCTTTTTTTCTTGGACGACGGAAATTCTAGAAAAGCGCGAACAAAGTTCCATATTCTACTCTGCCCTCCTCATTCCCCCTCGCTCTCCTATTCCTCTCTCTCTCTCTCTCTCTTCCCTTTTTGTCTTTTAATTCGCGCCTTCGACGGCGCGCCATTCGGCCGCGATCGATCAATCATTCCTCATCACGCTGAAATATTTACTCGCGCGCGAATATAACCCGGGCGCCGCGCGCGTCATCGCTGTATAGGCCGCACCGCCTATACAGAAATTTCGTCCGCGCGGATGTTTGCCGAGAGCAAATATTAAAAGGGTACACCCTTGCCCGCGCGCGCCCTTCGCGCGCGGACTTTTTGCCCGCGCCTCGACTAAGCGTAATCTTAAGCGCCCGCGATTTATCGGTATATTTGCGCCGCGCCGGCGGCCTTGCACGACGGTATACACCTTCGGACCGATATCGCGCGTCATATTATCACTAATCAGTTTAATTTATACGGTTACGACATACATTATATACGACACACTCAACGTACGGCAAACTTCGAAGCGAGGCTCCGCTGCGAATTGAGCGCGGCACGATTTCCTGCCTACGCGCTCGCGATTTTTTAACCCGCCGATTGGAAAAACAATAAGCCGCCGCCGCCGTCGTCGTCGCGCCGGCTGTTCATTCCTGGTAGTTAGTCCCATTTTCTTGCGTTTAAATTTAAACTCTGACGAGTGTATAGCGAATTTACGCGGTGACAAATTGCAAAAGTCAAGGATCAAGGAAGAAGCAGCGGCTGACTATACATATAGATTCAATAATTAAAATTGGATTTGTTGACGTTAACGTAAATATAGGTCAACCGCGAGGATCATTGTCTCTCTTTTACATTATTTTAATTAATCTTCTCTAACATGCGAAATAAAATTAGAACTGTAAAAGATACACACGTGATAGAAATTACATGAAAACATTACGTTAGTAGAACAATAGATAAGAAATATAATCAGAAATCAAAGATAAGTGAGAGATAACCCAGTAAAGAAAACTTCAAATTTATCTTCGATCTTCTTTTTTTTAATTTAAAGATATAGATCTTCTTTGAATATCGCATATATCTTTTCCTCTCTCCCTTTTGGACGTTCTATTCGACGTACAGAACTCACAGCTGAAGCCTCGAATCGTGGCCTCGGAATTTTATATCGTCCGATCTAAATTCCTACAATGTGTTTACGAAATATGGTGATTGATCTGTTTTTTTTTTCTTTTGTAAGCTCCATATAGCATTTTTCTTTCTGCATTTTAAATTCAAATACACGCATATAATTAGACGTTAGAAAAAAAGGGAAAAAATGAAGAAGTTTAACTATGACAAATTTTATAATTATTATATACAAATTCTGTAAAAAGTTGCTGAAGATATATGTTTGCAGAGTGCAAAAACATTATTATATATAATTATATGCTTCGACAAGACTTTTCATATATGCAGTATTCCGTGGTGATTAATGATGTTGAAAGTGTTTTTAATAGCTTATCTAAGTATCAAAAACACTTCGAGTCTTTAACAACAATTAATATAAAAAATACTCGAACTATTAATATATTAAAACACTTTGAGTCTTCAACAATAATTAAGATATAAAAATATGACGTAGTTATTTTATTAGTCGAGATAAAAGACGTAAATATTTATGCTACATTTTCGTTTTGTGTATATAGCAATCTTTGTACATCAATTATGAGTGCAAGTGCACCGAATTTAATTACCATCGGATTTTCTCAAATCGCGTCATCACAACACAATCACGGTCGAGAGGTCGAAACGTTTCTATTCGATGAGTTTCATTTTTTGGAGGAGCACATTTTGTAAAATTTCAAACTATATCGCACGTGTAAATTTCTTAAATGTTATAACTTAAAGTTAATATTTATATGACCTTAGAACATACATATATATTCTAAGATTATGACTGCGTTGGATAACATCCTATCAGTATTATTGCATTATTCTATTTTTATTTTATGTCAAAGTATGTATGTACGATAAAGATAAAATAATGTAATAGCGCTGATAGCACGTATACATACTCGACTTTTGTATTTTTCCTCTTTTCACTCCAACGTCTAATCATATTTCAAGTGCAGAAGGAGCAGGACGCGAGAAAGGGAAGGCCAGCGGCCGGCCAGCCCCAGATCAGCTGAGCGAAGTGGCTGGAAATTGAACAGCGAGCGCGATCTGTCGCTCGCCACGAGAGACAACGAGCGACACTTGGGGGCGGGGGAGGGGGGCGCTCCTCTCTCTCGGTCGGGGGAAACGTCAGGACAGGGCGAGCCGCGGCAAGCGTGCGCGCGTGCTTGTGTGCATCTTCGTTTTTACTCGAGAAACCAATTTCAGGTTTGTTTTCGTCGCACAGCTGATGTGCGTGCGGACACGCGCGTCGACTCGTCCCCGTCGAGGATCCATGACGTTCGGTTCTTAACGGCTGGCGCGATCTGACCGTACGATGGCGAGCGCGAGCGACAAGTCGCAGCCGAGGCTGCAGTCCAACGAGGAGGTCATAGAGGAGCTCACGAGAGATCTGGAAAGTTCCTGCGTGCGAGCGGACGATGCTTCGGACGCGCGATCGAAGGGCGACAATTCGTGGGACGTCGTGGACAAGGAGTGCAACGAGGATGGCAACGACAACGCGCGAAGTACGGAGGAGGACGTGGACGAGGTGCTCCTCAAGGACAGAGACCTGTTACTCACGGAAAGCGAGCAGGAGGTGCGCCCACGATGTCTCCTCTAGCATAGGCTATCTCCCTTGTAAATCTTCCATTATTTTCCGTTACGGCAATTGCAATTTGTCTGCTTTTCCCTCGCAGGCATTCAAGGACGAAGCGGAGAATTTGAAGCAGGCGGGCAACGACCTTTTCAAAAACGGCGAATACGTACGGGCGATATCGCAGTACACAAGGGGATTGCAAACCTGTCCTTTGGCGTACAGCAAAGAGAGATCTATATTGTATGCGAATAGGGCAGCGGCGAAAGCGAAGTGTCAGGTGATTGACCAAAGATGTGGTTATCAATGAATATCGCGTGTTTTATACCTCTTAGCTGTTATTGACAAGTTATCGTTTTCAGACAGAGAAGGATTCGGCGATATCCGATTGTACCAAGGCCATTGAATTAAATTCCAGTTATGTAAAGGTGTATTTAAGAAGAGCACAGTTGTACGAAGAGACGGACAAATTGGACGAGGCGTTAGAGGACTTCAAGAAAGTATTGACATACGATTCTAGTCACACAGAAGCCAATCATGCCGTCAGGGTAATGTATAACTAGCATTTGTACAAACTAGCTGATGAATTATTCTATAACTTGGGTTGTAACAAAGATCAACTTTTTAGAGGAATCTCGTTTAAAGTTTTGGTGTATTTAAACTACAAAAAAAAACCAATAGCTGTAGTATTTCATGTAATTATGGTTTTTTTATTCAATTCATTTTGACTTAACGATACATTTTATTTCTTGGTCTCTTGAAAAATAAGTAAATTTTCTTTCTCTAAAGCTTACTTAAATTTTACTTTACTTAACTTAAATTTAAAAAAAGAGCAATTTTAGAGATGAATAATATAGTTTATAAATATTAAAAAGTAGGATTATATTTTTATATTAATGTAATTATTAATGTTATGACTGTTGTTTTTTCAGAGGTTACCCCCGTTAATTAGCGAAAGGAACGAGAAGCTGAAGGCAGAAATGTTGGGTAAACTAAAGGATCTAGGAAACATGGTTTTAAAACCCTTTGGCCTTTCCACGAATAACTTTGAACTGGAGAAGGATCCCAACAGTGGTGGCTATTCCGTAAAGTTTCATCAGAACCCCATGTAACAAGCTAGTTATACGTTTCTTAATCATAAAAAAAAAACTATGGATAAAATTTGTTTTACCTGTGTAAGAAATTAAGATATATTTATATATTCTACCTATTATGGATTTTCATCCCTGGTTCTATAACTAAATGTAGATATTAATGAAGTACCGACAGGATAAAAGTCAAAATTATCCAGATCGTGAAAGTTCCATCAGATTTTACGTACAAAGCTACTTCGAGACCAACTTGTCGCGCGAGGAAGCTCAAAATACTTATCCGCGTTCAAATTAATCGAACGAGATTAACGGGCAATATATATCCGCGAGTTGCAATGTCGGATATCTCGCTATATTTGGTGCCGTGATGTTAGACCGGATATAGCCTATGGTTCAATAATACCGAGCTATATCGCTATCGCCGATAATTTTAGCCACGGCTCTTTCACAAAGGGGGTTGAATGACTGATCTCGGCGGGGGGGGGGGGCAACGAACGACCTCGGTCGCAAATTACGAAACATCAATTATCAGCCAGCATCAATTTGATAAGTTCAAAAGTGCGAAATATCACATAATTGGATAATAATATCGGAATGGGAACATTGAAAGTAAAAACATTCGATCGCGGTATTTTCTTTCGGATATTCGAACAACGATGTAAATATCGGATGGACATCAATCTTCATTACAGGGAAAATTTAATGTGTACGAAATAACGAAATAGCGATTTTTATCTATCGATACCTAGAAAGTAGCATCGGTTCTATTTCTACTCCCTCGCCTTCCTCTCCAAGTGAGCAAGTGCAACGAACAATCAGGCGGAGGGGTGCGGAGGGATGGGCCGGTGACGTATCACGCGCAACTCGCGCAAGCGTCTCGACGTCACCGTCGACGGTGCACGGAAGCGCCGGTGCATCGTATATAGGGGGTACAGGCGAGGGGTCGAGCGAAGGGCGGGACGGGAAAGCGCGGAAGCGTGCGCGTAGGCGCGCAAGGCCGTCAGCGGCGCCGCGGGTCAGAATCGGGGAGCGCGATTCCCCGAATTCTTCCTCCGTGCGCCAACGAATCGCGCCCCGGATAATAATCGTCGTATTATCGCGAGCGTATAATTAGAATTAAATGAAACTAATTAGCGAAATTTATCGAGGAGCGTAACGATTGTTGAGCCGTGAGAAATATCGAAAAGAGATAACGGGGATCGAGGAAGTGATATTTAATCGCGCGGGGGCGGCAAGCGGCCACCCCGGGCGAGCGCTGATACCGTAAAGGGGCCGCGGGGGTGAAGGGCGGAAGGGCGAGAACGCGGCGCGGCGCCGCGGCGTGTCATCCGCGCGTTGAGGGTGGGTGCAGGAGGCGCGGGGAGGGTAGGGGCGAGGAACGAGAGGGAGAGAGGGCTCGGCGCACGTCAGGGAGCGGGAGAGGCGAGAGGGAGAGAGAGAGAGAGATACACACACGCACGACAGCCGTGTGAGTCGTGCGCCGAGACGGCGGAGGCCAGGCCGCGACGGCGACAGTGAGGGGGACGGCCGAGTCGCAGCCGCGGGGCGTAAATACGTGTGCGCGGCACCGGGGTATCCGGTTGATCCCGGTGGGACACGCGCGATCGTACGCGACACGAGGGACTGAACGAAACGTCGTCGGGACGACCACGAAAACGGAGACTACAGCGGCGGCGGCGACGGCGACGGCGGCGGGTGGCTTTTCATATTCGAATCGATAATTCGAGCGCGATCGTGGGCAGCGTGGCGGGCAAGGGACTCCCCCAAACAAGGAAGACTTCGGACAAGTCTCGCGGACGAGCGGGACGCGGGTCCACCCTCTCCTCTTCTTCCTCCGTCTTCGCCTCCTCTTTCCGTGGGATACGCGTTACGAAGTGATAAGGGAAAGAAAGAGAGAGAGAGAGAGAGAGAGAGAGAGAGAGCTCGCGCGCGGCAGCAGCAGCAGGCGCATCGTCGCCACCCTCTCGGTTTTATTATTGGCACCGCGCTACCTATATCCGGCGGCACACCGGCGGTACAACCCTCGAGTCTTCCGGCTGGAGAGCAGTGCTCGCGACACGTACGGCGGACGACGACGGCGATGCACGGCGATAAAGGGGTAAGCCGCACGACCAGACGCGCGGATTCCCTCGAAGCGCCGGGAAATCGGGTCACCGGTTCGTTATCGGAGCGAGCGAGCGATAGCGATATCTTCTCTCGTCCCCTGGCCCCTTGTCCTATCGCGACCACCGGTGTGACGATCGCGAGGAAGGAAACAGCTCCGGAAACGCGCTCAGGTCCCTTGGCGAACGAGGGTTTTCGGTGCACGCAAACGAGAGATTCTCCTTCAACGAGAAATAAAGTTGCGAGTGTTTTGAGCTCGATTTCGATTGCATTCCCTAGCGAGTTTTCCGCGTCTAAAATGGGTCGGTTGCATTTTACGGGTGTAAGTACGCGTAAATGTTTGTACTGCAAGTGTATTAAATTAAGAAGAATATGCGAAAAACATAACTGGAATGAAGCGTCTGTTCATCGTGGATTTTTCTTCGAATTGTTCAATGGAAAATGTGAAGGAGCGACGGGGCGACATATGGTCTGAATTTTTTGTGTGTGCGTAAACCAAAGGATTTTATTAGCAATTTGCTTAACAATTCGGATTAAATTCGGACACGGAAAACTAATAAAATGTTATATTTTGGTCCGCTTTTAAAACAGAGAAGGAAAATTCGATTATTACAGTACGGTTCTCCTTGGAAAATCATTTACGATTCCAAGACTCCAAGAAATCGCTAATTACTTATATTAATTCTACGCTAATTCCTAAATTCTTCTGTAATACGTTTTTAGCATAAAAGTAAAAAGGTGGCGTCACATCAATGAACGTTTAGAGTTTCCCCATCGCCATTTGACAATCAGGAAAATTTCCGCCAAGGGAACGTAATGGCTGTATAGCGTGCGAATCTCACGCGAATAACGTGCACAAACATCAGCTATTACAGTAAAGACCGATAGTGTAACTTCCGCGCGAAAGAACGATCGCAAAGCGAGGACTTCCGGTACTTGGCCGACGTCGTGTATATACCTCGATCGCGGCGATCCGTATATCGCGTCCAATTAGGAATTTCATAAAGGTATACGTGTACCGTGAATACGTCGTTAATTAACGCGTTTTCCGTTCTCCAGTGTCTCGTCCATAAGCGTATCGATTCCGCGGATCGTCATGCACGTGCATGTCTTTATACCGAGAAAGGTATAATAAAGCGTCGCGCTCTTTCATCTCGAAGCGATATTTTTATATATATTGTAGAAGACATTTTTATACATAAAAGAGAGATTTTTTTCCACGCGCAAAAACTGAGAGAGAGAGGAGAGAAGCAGAGGAGAATTATTGAACCTTTATATAACTCTCTCTCTTTTTGTGCGTGAGGGTTTACTATTTCATTAAAACGTATATCATTCTCGCGCAGGGGAATTTTATTTCAATAGAAGTTTTTATTGCGGACGGAGGAATTACTCCCGATGTATAAGCACAAAAGAGTAGCTCGAATAAGAATTGAATGTACCTGTCCGTTATAATTAATATCAATAGCAGTAGTATCCGCTTTGTCGGATTTTCTATTGACGAACGCCGTGACGTTATTGACATAGCCGTCGGAATACGAGATACAGACACTTTATTGCGGCGACGATTATTTACGGAGCGCGGTGTAATAATTTCAACGTATACGTTTATTTCCACAGGCTGGCATAAATTTCGCGAAATTGATAATCGACGCGAACATTAAATCACGGTGACATTTTCCCTCTCAGGGGGGTGGGAGGGAGGGGGAGGGAATGGATTTATTCTTTCGCTCTTTTACTCTGCGCGAAAAGCCGATGTAACCGTCGCTTTCACGTTAATCTGATTTCGAAAATTATATTTACACCGAGCGCGTTCGATTGCGAACGGATCGCATTGCGAAAATTGTTGATTACTCCACCACCCCACACATACGGGGTGTGTCGAAAAGAGCCGGGGCGCGAAGGGTCGAGAACTTTCCGAGCGGTCTCTCGGCGAGCGGCGAAGTAAGCGACCCAAAAAGCCCGTTCGCCACGGGTTTCACCGGGGTGTGATAGAGTTTTGTTTCGCGGATCGATCGCGGGGAGTGAAATAAAAAATCGCGCGTTGAAAATCGCGAGGCCGCGTGGTGAACCGCCCTCCGTTCCCTGTCCCCATTCATCCCTCCCCGCCGGGGAGAGTTTGTCCTTTCGCATTTACCGCGGACACCCCGTGTATGCGGGCGCGTATTAATTTCGCCGACGGCAATTAGACAATCCGATACCGTTACGGCCCTCGAGTGCGCTTGTCACTTTTACCCCGTGCTCACGAATACGCCGTATATATGTATACGCATTTACGCGGGGATTACACGTGCCGCGCTATCGCGTTCGACTTTCCATCTCCCCCCCAGCGTTCGCATTCCGGGCCGTATCCGGTATACACGCGTCCGCGTGTATACGTGCGAGCGTGTGTCTTTGATCCCTAATGAATCGTGCCCGTTGCGATTGCGTAATGCGGCGAATTATCCCCGTATGCGGCACACCGATGGGAGATCCGTCCCGAGGGCTCCTCTCGAAGCCATCCGGGCGACTTTAATTACGCCCGTGTAAAATGTTACGGAACCATTTTACCGTGTATCTCATTACACGTGTATTCCGCGTAATTTCCTCGCGTATAGGGTTTATTTATTAATTACACCGCGAGTATCGAAAATCCCGACAGCTCTGGCCGATAAAATCATGCGATGCGAAAAACGGGGGGGGAGAATATAATACGTGAAATTGCGCATTCAGAGGATAATTTTTTTTTCCACGAAACACGTTCGGAATGACGTGTTTTATGGAAGGGAGATTGTATCGCGTTATCGGGAATTCGCTTACGCGTGATCGAAACGAAAACGCGCCCTGCCTCGGCAGGTAGGCCGCTCATGCTTTTCTTAAAGGGGGTATAGTTTACGCATGCGAGAGGGACGAGTGTCATCGATTTACCCTGGCCGTGTTGTATTTGATGACAGTAACCGTGCACACGAACGGTTATAGTTTTGCTACTTTTAGAGGCCGTACATATGTATGTACACACGCAGTACCAACACACATGTCCAAACAGTGGGTGCCGTGTCATATGTCACCCACGTATGTACATACATATATATGCGCGTGTGTGACGCCCACATCGCGCCGCGATTTCCCTGCCCCCTCCCCCCCTGTCTCTCCCCCGTAAGCTGGGGGGGCACGCGACATCGATAATCGTAATGTTATGCGACACAGGTGGAGCACTGTTTCTAAACACGGCCGCGGCCAAGAGATCAGGGGGGGGGGAGGGGAGCTCTGAAAACACGCCACTTAAGAGAGACGTCGATAAATCGAGCCGGGACGATGCTAAAGACGCCACGACGAGAGTATACGAAACGCGAGATAAAGTCGGCCCTTAAAGCCGACGGGCGCTCTCGTGCGCGCGATAGGGGTTGCCGTTTTCCGACGGGATATCGCGTCGCCACGAAGGTCGTTCGTGTCCTCGTATAACTCCGAGCGTGAGCTCGATGTGACTTGGAGTAAAACTTACGACCGATACGATCTTCTAAATTGCTCCCATATATCCGCGTTTGTATGAAGCTCGTTTTTCTCCCTCTAATTGGCTCGAGGATCTCGGCCCCGCTTGTACGCGTGTACAAGGGAAGAAAAAAAAAGAAGTAGAATCGATACACCCGGAGGACGACGATAGTCGAAACGCGCCTCGGACTGCTCCGATTTAACTTGCTCGCGTTACGTATATGGTGCGCGATCGGGGGAGCGAAAGAGAGAAAGTATATAGGTGAGAGGCTGGGGCGCTAATCTATACGACGGTAATTTCGTTCCAGTCGCAGACAATGAGATGCAGGCCGCGTAATCTGCAGGCGCGTCGCAGGAGGTGGCCCCTGCGACTGGGCCTCTTCCTGATCTACGTACTCGTGCAGTACGTCTCCTCCACGAAAGTTCCTTCCACGCCGGTCGAGTCGACGACGTTGGCGACGTCGTCGTCGAGCTCCGCGCAATGGACGTCAATGGAACCGCCGGTCTCTTCGATCGGCACCACCGAGAAGGAGGAGACGGTGACAGAGGCGTCGACGTCTACCACGGGGAAGCCGAGGAGGCCGGGCCGTCCACATGCGGAGGGATCCAAAACCGAGTCGTCGCCAAGGGGACACAATCGAAATGGTACCACGACTACCACGACGGTGAGTGCATGCAGATCCCCATCGTGATGTACTAGCCAAGCGGAGAATGTGGACTCCGCGAGGCGCGTGATTACGAGATTTTTGTTTGCAGAGAAGCTTGTAAATCTGTATAGTCATGCCTGCGGTCGTACAATGCATTTTATTGTATTTTTTTGTCGACGTTCTGACAAAAGTACAATGAAATTCGTTAACAAAACGCGACGATGGATTAATCCGTTCGCAGAAATCAAATGATCTGCGGCGATAATTTCGCAGCGAATTCTGCTCGCAAGCTCTATACGAGCGGAACATGAGCTTAACGCGGGCGCAATCGATGCTAATCTGCCGTGATCTCGATTCCATGCCGACGGTTCGCTCGTTGCGGGGAGCAACACCCCCCCGACTGAGGCATCCTCATGTATATACCTATATCTCGCGGCGCAGATGGACGGATAGCGTCTCGGGAAAACAAAATTAGAGGATGCCGTCCAGATCGAGAATCGAGATACGCGATATGACACGCGAGATGCGTGGCGCGGAGTTGCATAACACCTGCGTCGTGATGCGATCACCGTCGCGGATTAACACATCGCATTACGATGGCTTTGTATACACGTGATTTTCCGCGGATATACATCTCGGTCGTTCGGATAAAATAAATATGATATTAAATGCACATTCAAACGATCTGTAGGGGAGGATGGGGCTATTCGGAACCCGGGGCAACTCGGAACCCTCGCTATATCTCGAATACTGCACTACCGAATATAAGCGTCATATAACCATAAGTGTCAGGCTGAAAAGACGCAATCTATAGGTAAAATTCAGTTTGACATTCGATAATATACAATATTCGAAATATATATAGCGAGGGTTCCGAATAGCCCCGTCCTCCCCTATTAATAATGAACGATATCTCTATTGAATGAGAAAGGAATTCAATAACGAATTAAAAATTTTTTTTCTCGTTTCAAATGGCACAGGTTACTCCAGTTACCCACATGACTGCGAAACCCGCCGTACCCACGCGAAGACCGCGAAGGACCAACTGTTCGGCGCCCGCCATAGAGCAGTTTCCGCAGCCGTTGATGGGCCCCACGGCCAGGAAACACGGTGGGCTCATAATACACATTCTGGCCGCTATCTACACGTTCCTGGGCCTCGCGATCGTCTGCGACGATTACTTCGTCTCGAGCCTGGACAGGATCTGCGAAGGTGAGGCGAGGTGAAAATCGCCCCTCCTCGCGATCGCGTTGAAATCAATAATCCCGTGACTCGCGTCGAGTTACGGCGTTATACATGTAGACAGTTTTACACAAGAGGATCGTGTTTCATCACGCAGATTCGCCGAGAGATTTGTTATTACTATAAGAGACAGTATCCCGACTCTTGGCTTTTTACTGGAAAATGGACATCACTTTTGAACTCGCAACGCGATCTCGAAACAGAGGGGACGATTCTTGCGATTTTATTTTAGACGATTTATTTCAAATTATTTCTATATCGTTTATAAATATTACAAATTCGTTATATCTTTATTCCTTGCCAGAACTGAGACTGTCTCCCGACGTCGCCGGTGCCACCTTCATGGCGGCCGGCTCTTCCGCGCCCGAACTGGCGACGGTCATCATCGGCGTGTTCTTCGCCAAGGACGACATCGGCGTGAGTATCATCCGCGGTCACCTAATCGCGCCTCGCACGCCTCGCTGCGTTTGCTAAACATCACGAAGCGCAAATAACATAAATAAAACATTACGTAATCCAGCGCGCGAAACAAAATCGTTTGTTTTCCTCAATCGCGGTGGAGGACCGTTTTCGTTATCGCGTCACGTGAATCTGGCTGACGCTCGGCAACAGGCCGAACGTCCTTGTCTTGTTAATTAGCAGCGCGGAGGTTGGCAATCAAATCCCTTCCTATCGCGTTTCAGGTCAGCGGCGTCATTGGCAGCGCCGTTTTCAATATAATGTTCGTTATATCGATCTGCGGCCTATGCTCCGCGACGGCCGCCAAGTTGAACTGGTGGCCTCTCTGTCGAGACTGTTTTTTCTACGCCATCTCGATCCTCGTGATGCTCGGCACGATTTACGACGACTTAATAACCTGGTGAGCAATACGCCGCATACTGCCTGATTGCGCCCGATTGCGAATGGAAATTGACGCGGAATCTCACGGACGAAATAAAAATGCCTTTCAGGATGGAGTCTTTCTTCATGTTAATCATGTATGCGGTCTATTGCGTGGCGCTCTCATTCAATGTTAAATTGGAACGTTGGGCGAAATCGTACAACATTCCGTTCCTGCCGAAGGACGACGAACCCGCCGAGGAGAGCGCCCTGGTGAGCTACAGGTCCTTACAGGAGGATCGATTATCCTACACCGGTCCTAACTCGCCGGTCACCGATCAAATGAAGAATCAGGAAGGTAACCGAGTAATCTTGTATTTTTATTCGTATTTTTTATATATTTTTTAGAGATCTTAATATGTCCTTCATTTTTTTTCAGGAAATGGCATTCAAGAAACGATCGAGCAACAACAACAGCAGCAGCAGCAGCAGCAGCAACAGCAGCAGCCGCCGGCCGCATCGAGGCAGCCCGAGTATTACAAAGCGAAGGAGCCCAATCCCAACGAAGTGTCGCCCCTCGTGATGCCGACGGACGGTAGCAAGTGGACCTTGTTCACCTGGGGCCTCGTGTATCCCATCCACTTCATGTGCCGGGCGACAATGCCGGATTGCCGGCAGGAAAAGTGGCGGAGATGGTACCCCTTCACGTTTTGCATATCGATGATCTGGATCAGTTTCTACAGCTACATAATGGTGTGGATGATCACGATCATAGGTAACGTTTTATCGTTTGTACTGCGATCGATTATCTTTTAGCAAATGGGATCGTGTTAGCAAAGCGGTTGACTTTACAGGCAGTACCCTGGGCATTCCCGACACCGTGATGGGGTTGACTTTCGTTGCCGCTGGCGTGAGTGTGCCGGACGCCCTTTCCTCGCTGGCGGTCATCAAGGAGGGTCTCGGCGACATGGCGGTCAGTAATGCTGTAGGCAGCAACGTCTTCGACATCCTGGTATGCCTCGGTCTTCCGTGGTTTATACAGACCGCTATGATACAGCCCGGCTCGCACGTAAACGTCACGAGCAGAGGTACGCGGAATTGTCTATCTATATTTTTAATCTCTTTATTCGCGGAATTGTCTATCTATGTATTTTTAATCTCTTTACTCGCTGAATTGTCTATCTACATTTTTAATCTCTTTATTCGCAAAAAGGACACATTTGTATTTTAATTTTTGTCGTTTATGTTATCAGGTTTGACGTATTCCACCGTGTCCCTGCTGTCGACGGTGTTGTTCCTGGTGCTGGCGACACACCTGAACGGCTGGAAGCTGGATCGACGATACGGCATGGTCCTGATGGTCTGGTATTTAATATTTATCGTGTTCGCGTCGCTCTACGAGCTCAACGTCTTCGGCGAGATGAATCCGCCAGTATGCCCTAGCACCTACTAATGCAAAGACACCTCGTTCGTTTTCGACCTTTGCTTTGCTCAAACGCGGAACGATCGTCCGGAGCAGGAATTATCGTCCCCGGCCGATTGGCCCGCGCACGATGACGCACGCACGGTCGTAGATCGTCGTAAACGCTCAGCGATCTCGTTCGAACGATCCTTACCCCGTCTTCTTCTTCCTACTCGATAACGAGGACAGCGAGAGACAGAGGAGCTTAGAAGGTAGCTGCATGCTCGGAGAGAAGCGCACGATTTTTAGCTTGCTGCGAAACTGTTGAAGCGCCCGGTCGAGAGATTTTAGATCAGTAAAGGACTTTGTCGTTGAGCTTTCTTTCTTTCTAGGCTGTTGTAGAGAATCTAGACAATATGTGCTCGCGCGTGAGTACACAGGCAATTGTATCCTATTGGTGCTATTGAAAGTTAGGCAAAAAGAGTATTTTGCTTGCTTCCGTTCGACCTAACGAGTCCCCGATCGATTTCCCACACAATCGAGCGAAAGTACGGGAAGTTTATGAAATTTTTCCTAAGTAACGAAACTTTTGAACAGACAATACGACTATTAATATTAAGTCGTAATTCGATGGCGTATCGGCGGTATCGGTTCGCTAATATCCCGAAAATCGTCGCAAAATTCCAAACTTCTCCAATCTTAACTCCTAGCCACAGACCTCGTTGTACGTCGCGCGAGTCTTGTCCGAATCGACATAGAAAAGAAGATGTGATACGTTTTATATCAGCCATATCGCGCAAATGCCTGAGTACCATGGAAGGGGAATGCGTCTTGACAATTAATCGTTTTATATCCTAATATTAGAGTAAAAAGGATCCAGTAGAGGTACGGCTTGTTAGAATAGACCGTAGGAGCATCATATCTGCGGCTAAATGTTAAGACTGTTAACGGTGCTGTGCTAAATATCGTCGGAAGTCGATATCCACTTGCGGAACTGTTTAAGAACGTGAAATATTCGACGAAGAGCGGGCAAGAACTTTTCCCTGGGGCTACATTGTCGCAACGTTAAGCGCGATCCTTATCCTATTATCCGATTGTGATTTCGGAATATGATACCTACTTGTATATTTTTTTAATATATTTTCTATCGCGATACGGAGCGCGACGTACTGCGTAGAATGTGCGATAAGAGGAGACGAGTCTTCGCGCGCTTCTTGAGAAATCGAGGCTTGTACAGGTTCGACTATATATGGTTTTCAATTTCTGATTGCGTTGAGAAATGTGCTTTCGCCGCCAGCCAAGTGAACGACGAAGAGACGAGACTTCGCGAGATCAAAGGAGGTCCCTCGTTAGCGCGAGTGTAAACGTAAAATCACTTCTTTTTTCAAAAGAGCAGCGACAAAAAGAAATAAAAAAAAGTAAGGGAAGGAAAATGCCTTGAAGCGCCACGCGAAGGATGAACGCGAACGAATTATTCCCGGGTGACCGAGAGAGTTATAAATTCGAATTGAGAGAGAGTTATAAATTCGACGCGACTGCGCGCGGAAAAATTCGCGGGAACGACGGAGCAAGCGAAATTTGCATTTCCGTTTCACCAAAGGAGACGGGGGAAGGAAAAGGGGGAGGGAACGGGAGATATTGGTTCTCCACGAGGGCGAACGAGCGCTGAAAGTGACAATAATTAACGCAGCCTTATCCGATGAAAGTATCTACAACCAGCACTATTATACTGCGCGTTCCTTGAGACCGATTCGCGAAAAGGGTCACTTAATTGTAAATCGGTAGACGGGCAAGAGGAACCTCCACCCATCGGTAAAATCGGCGCTACCTCCGCTTCCGGGATCCTTTGATCTTTCGAGCGCGCCGGAATCGGGTATCGATGACGAGCCGCGGAATCGCGCGATGGAATTCCCGCAGGAATCACAAGAGAGATTGCAGGGCTCAATTGACCGAGAAACAACAAAAAAGTAATATAATAATCAAAGTTTCAACAACGGTTATATACGCTGGAGATATTAAAAATATTGCCTGATAGATATACATATATATAGTATATATATACGGGCCTATTCAAATGACAAGACGAATAACTGGGTTAATACGAATGGATAGTCAATATTTCTAAAAAAAATTTCTTTCATATATATTTATATTTAAGAATCCTGCGAGCATTCTGTCGATACAGCTCGTTGGGCTGCATCTTTAATAAATCAGCTGTTTCCTTAATCGGACGATCGCGAGTACGCGATCTGTGTAAGAAATCGCAAGGATCGCGCAGACGCTTTAGTGTGATTATATAAAAATTTAGCGTATAATATATAATGTAACGCGAAGAGGCTTAGATCGTAATGACTATTGACCGTTCGACGTGTTTGTTCACTACGTTTTGTCCGTTATTGTTAGCGCGTTAGAGCGATTTATGCATATATTATTATATATATGTAATATATATTCGCGTTGCGATGCGTTCGGTGCCGATGGGAATGTATCTCGAGATTGTTCTATTCGTGTAACCGAAATGGGATACCGAAAGCCGTTTAGCCGGACGCGAGCGTCTCGGCGTCGGGCGCATCGGCGCACGGCTTCCAGGATTTAGGGAAGCGCCGACCGACAGTAAAAAAAAGGCGCCTTAGATCTTCATTAAAAGCGGACCAGTCTCGCCGTCGATTTCGCGGGTTCCGTACCGCGGCGTCGATCGCATATAATTCGAGGAGGATACATCGAACCTGGCGAACGAGGTCTCTTCGTTCGCGTGCACGGAGAAGCGAGAGAGGGATGAATCGTCAGGGGCGCGCTTAGGGGTTTCTTCGGCCTTCGAGGCCGCCCGGAGGCGCCTCCTTAGGCGCCTTTACGAACGGCCTAGCGACGACAATTCGCGGAACAATTCTGCGTTCGCTGAAGGTTCAATTCACCCTGGGGAAATCTTTAGGAAGCGAGAACGACTTGGCGTCGTAACCCTGACGACGAAGAGCCGCGCAAGGACCCCGCGGGTCCGCACCTCGAGCATCAACGAATGGAACGTTAAAGAACTTTAGAGTTTGTTGGGGGGGATTGTCTACCCGTCTAATTTCCGGCGACTTTTTTTCTACCGCGCAACATGAAAACCGTCGGTCGAATGCTGTCGACGATCTGCTCGGGGAACCGGTGTGTTGTTTAGAGTCAATTCACCTGTGGCAATTATTAGTAGTAATTAGAGGAGCGCGCCGCGGCGATCTGGAGGGTTGGCGGGGGAGAGGGAGAGGACGCGCACGTCCACCCCCGTCTCCCGTTTCTCCCGGGACGCCGTTCCGAACGTCGATCAATTCGAGGGTGTCCTTAATAGCGTGTAATCGAAGTCAATAACGTACCTTTTTAGACGTCTCTCTCATAATTGTAATTCCATGAATCGCCCGTCCTTTTATGATGTTCCCATCACCTCCAGCGGTTCCCAGAGGATCGCGCAGAGGGAGGCCGACGACGATATAGCCTACACACACACACACACAAACATACACATACACACACACACACACACACCACACACACATACATCGAATACACTTGTACAAAATGTAGCAGGCAGGATAACGTAAAGCGACGTTACCAATAATAACGCAAAAGTATCGAAGGTAGAACCGAAGGGCGTCGGGCGTAGCGGGGATCAGACGTAAATCGTGTTGTTGATCTACCGGGATATAATACGTAGATTTTATATCACGACATTGTGTACTTAGATTATATATATATATATATTACCGATATATATACGTATATACATATTACCTGATTAATTAAGTTTATACAGTCGTCTCTCCTCTACTTGCAGTATTATCCCAAGTCTTCGTCGCGTGTATACGTTCGAATACGTTCGTACCTGTTAAATCGCGAAGGAGAGAGCCCCTGCCCCGTTTTCCCCGTTACCAGTTCGTTTCTCGATAAGTTTTTTTTCTTCTTTCCGGGATTTTCTCAACGCCTCGCTTCGCATTTTTCGATCCCGCTCTCTTCTTTGCAAATCCAGAACGCAATGGCAGACGCAGCCGGTCGGTGGCAGCTTCGAAAGTATCATAATTTTAACGAGACACACACACACACACACACACACACACTTATATAGACACGTAAGACATATTTAAAAGAAATAAAAGAACTGTATGCAACGTGAGGAAAGTAGACGTACAACGAATACAACGACATCGGCTGCCGCTGTGATAGCCACGCCTATTTTGCCTGTATCGCTTTTAATCGTCGAGCGAGTTCCCTGATTCCCCTTTTCGCGCCGTTCAACGTGTCGTCGTACAAAAGTGCAAAAAAAAAAAATAAGCATGCGATTCGTCACCGGGATCTCTCCGACCTATACGTCTCTTTCCATCGTTATTCAAGTTTCCAGAAGTATATCCTAACGCGTCAATATATATATCTAGTCATAGCTTATTACAGCGTTATGTACATAATTGTTCTACCAATGTCGTATATATAAATATAAATATATATATAAGTATTATATATATTTATAGATTTAAATATATATATATTATATATACACATTTGGCAAATATATATACATATATATGTATGTATATTGAGAGTATACGTGCGTAGTAAATATGCAGAGAGAAAGATAGAGAGAGCCTACTAAAGTACATATATATCTATATATATATATATATATACATAATAAATTTATGCGTCACCTTTCATCGCAAGGAGAGCTACGTACCGAAATGGAAACAATTTAATATTACACATACCTTGTTTAGCTTGAAAGCGGGAAGAAAGTAGATTAGTTATGTACTCTAATGTACTTAAAACGTTTCAACAATAAAGCTATTGCTACCAATTGAATCTCGATCTGAGGGCTTGATTTTAATCCTGGAAGTCACGAGTAAACGCCAGGTTTCACGAATTGCGTTTTGATATATTTGTGTTTTATAAAATTTCATATATTTAAATTAAAAGTCACATTAGACACATAGACATTTCAATAGTATACATTATACTTCTGCGGCCTGTGCGCGATGATATTTGCATTCGCAGTTATTTCGTCGCAGCAATCTATAAATATTCACGATGTATAATACAAAAATATAAAATATATACAGATTTTATATATGTGTCGTTTGCACAATCGACGCTTATATAAAATCGTGGATCCTCCGGAATTTATGATGACGTTTAAATATACTTAAAAAAAAAGGGAATGCGAACTTTTGGCTCAAGAATCCGTAGTTTTCTGCTCCAATTGATGCTGCGACTGTTGACATTCCTCGTTGCGCGGCATATCGCTGCTCGACAGAGGCTGCAGCTTAGGCGGGCAATTGTCCAAAATCGACTCGAGAGCGTAGAGTTTGTCGAGCTGCTGCCGAATGTGATTCAGACATTCCAGACGAACGATCCGCCTGCTGGTGTCCACCGAATTTCTATGGATCGTCAGACCGTTGAACAATAATTGCCAGCCGTTCTCCTGAAGTTCGCGAGTTATCTTCTCGACGGTCTCTTGCTCCGTTTGCTCCTGCTGCTGCATAGGCGCGTCATTCTGACGACAGAAAACATTTATCGCACTGATGCAGAAATATTCGACCGTAGTAATATTGTCTTTTGTAAAATTATGAGAGAAAGATACATAAAAATGAGGTGAAAACCAAAAAGGATCCTAAATTTAAAAAAAAAAAAAGAAGAAGAGAATATTGGACGCGCGTGTATCAAATTGATCGAATAAGATGCATGTCATTAAATACGTACTTTCGCGTCGTCCATGGTACCGAGCATACGGTCGATCGATTCCAGAATGCGAGTTTTCGTGGCGTGGAGATCCAGCTTTGTCAGATGCGCGGGTCCATTAAGCACGAATTCCTTCGTGGGTCTATTAATTGGCTGGCCGATCAACGCGGACGACTTGCTCGCCACGCAGCAAGGGGCAACGTCCGCGGACTTTCGCGATTTCGCCGTTCTCGCGACGTCGCCGGATCTCCGTCTCTCGAGCCTCTTGTCGTCCTCGCTTATCGTCGCCGTCGCCTCGCCGTCGCCTCGCTTCAGCCTATCCAGCTCCTCGAGGCCCAGAACGAGGTTCCTCATCTCCTGAGACTCGGCGTCGCTCTCGTGCCTCGCCTCCGCGACGTTATACTCGCCGTCCCCGACGTCGACGTAGCGACGTCTCGGCTCAGGTTCCAGCACGCGCGACTTCCTCGACTGGAGAACGTGCGGGATGTACTTCATCGACACCTCGCTCTCGACGTCGGAACATACCGGCTCGTCTGGCGATCTCTAGATCAGATGTGTCATTTAAATTAAAAAATGATTAGAAAAGTCCTCTTTTTTTTTTAAATCGTAGACGGACACAATTTTTCGCATTGAAAAGCGAGCGTTAATTACCTCAGATTGTCTGCAATGACCGTGTTTCTTCAATGAGCTTTTGACGGGTACCGCTCGCGCGTACTTGGAGCAAGCCGCGATATCTTCGTTGATCATTTCCGAGTTCGCGGTATCTCCCTTCATTCTGATCATATACCTGTCGTGCTCGCTTCTCCGCTGACGGCGAGCCTGCAGCGGTCTTCTCGGGCAACGAGGATGAGAATCCGCTTGACAATCGTGCCAGTATAGCTTCTGCGACAAGGGACTGCTCTGCGATTTCTTGATGGCCGAGCTAATCGGCTCCGCGAAGACGCGTTCACATCGATTTATCATCGCTTCCACGTTCTCCGAGGTCCTTCAAGGCAACCCCGATCCGATTAAAGTTGTTCATTCTCTCGTTGAAAATTAATAATCAAAAAGTGTTCTTTCGTTAACTCTCAATAAAATTTAATTATCTCTGTGAGCACCGTCAGCAACGGAAGAAAAAAGAAATGGTAAAAGGATCGTTTGCAATTCAAAAACGAGTGAAAATTCTTGAATTAATATAAGTGAGAACTCTTGAATTAATTAATATGACAAAAGGGTACTTCCGTGCTCGGAAAAGTTCTATCGGAGTCACCGACTGATGAAGGCCTTTGATAAAGATCGAAATTGATATCAAGGATATTAGATAAAGAATTGTATTACGCGCGTGAAGAATTAAAATGCATATATAGATAAAAAAAAATTATCGCACGCAATTATATTCGCGCCTTAGGTACAGAATTTATATCGAATTAATAATTAATTGCTAATTTATAATTCTTTTTTTATTAATCAGCCGAGTAGAGAGGGAATATTTTCACCTTGGCCTACCGGGCGAAGGGAATCTTCGCCTCTCGGGCGGGCAGTGGCACGAAGGACAATGCTTCTCATAATTCCTCGTTCTCCTTTTAAGCATCGCGATGTCGCGCGGCACGTCCTCCGGCTCGTTCTGTCCGCAATTAGAGCAAAACTCACTGTGACGATACGATCCGGTGTCCCTGTACGCGTTCGCGGGTATTCTCTTGTATAGCTCCATAGTTTCCCGAAATAAGTCGTAGCCGAGACGGGATGCGAGAGCCGCCGGAAACTTGATCCACCTTCAGTTTACCGTATCCGCCGTATTCAGCGGCATAATCAAAACTCGGCCAAGGATTCTTGCTCTCCGATGACAGCGAAACTCTACCGAAATAGGTCAAACTGAGCTCATAGTACCGTCATCAGTACGCAACTTCCATTTTTTGAAATGCGTACCATGAATTTCGTTCCCTTTTGTTATTAATATCTTTGTAAGTTTAGAATCGCGAGCGCAAAGAGATATTAAAAAAATATATAGCTAATACGAAAGATTGTATATCATACACACGCATAGAAAAAAAGAAACTCGAAGAACTTTGACGGACGCAGACGTTCAAGCTTGATGCGAACGTGTTTCGATTCGAGTTTCGTCGTAAAATTCGATGCAAATCCGAGGAAGAAAAAGAAATATTTTATTTGAAGAAATTTTAAAATTTGAAGGATGATATTTCTATTTTTAATAATTACGAAATTAAAATGTATGAACTTATTTTAAAATTTGGAGGATGATATTTCTATTTTTAATAATTACAAAATTAATGTATGAACTTATTTTAAAATTTGAAGAAAGATTCTATTTTTAATAACTACGAAATTAATGTATGAACTTATTTTAAAATTTGAAGAAAGATTCTATTTTTAATAATTACGAAATTAATGTATGAACTTATTTTTAGACTCACGGGCCTTTTTCCAATTCGACGATATGTAAAATGCGATGCTGGATGATTATCGAAAGGAGCATATTCCATGATTATGTGAACATTTACGTCACACAATTTTTGCTTAAAAAATACTGTTTATTGCAAAACAAGTTGCAAGTATCTCTCTTTTAACAGGATATAATGTAAAATAAATATCACCATACATACAAATCTACATGCGCGTCAACGCACCAGTGATTGTACATCGTTTTGTTTTTAGTCTGAATACAGTCTGAATTTAATATTTTATAGGGATGGCTTCTCTTTTGAGTTTTCCCGACTGTGGTCAGCGTTATCTAAAAGGAGGCTAGAATATCGCTAAATGGAGTACCAGGTTCTTTCGCGGCAGCTTCGAACGTCTCGACAAATGCCTTCTTTTGAGATTCTTTGGATAGCTGAAATCGATAAATCAATTAATAAAATAGATGCTAAAAAATAAAATAAATGTTAAAATAGATGCTAAAAATTAAATAACGTTGATTTACCTTGTGATAAAAGTCCGAAGCTGCTATACACAATATTTTCTTGTCTTCATATTCGTACTTTCCTATTCTCGACTGAACATACGGAAATCTGTCACGTTATAGCTAAGGAAGCATTATATTTCCCCGAAAAAAAAATTACAAAGTTACGTCGACGTGAAAAGGATACAAAGCTCTCAACCAATGGTTTGTCGACGCGCTTATGAAGAAACAGGACAAGCACCAGGTCGACATTGCCATCGGCAAGCTTTGAATGAAATTCGGTAGACTGAAGACCACCCAATCTTGAAGGAGCTCCATTTCCGTGCAGGTACACGCTTTTTCACAGACCTGCAAAATCAGATCGTACATTCGTATTTTTTTTTTTTCGCATTTCGGTCGCGCTACAATTCGAGATCAATTTATTACAAACTTTAAAGACAACGGCGGAGAGTAATCTCGGATGCGGTTGTTGCGGAGACAGGAATTCCCCTATGACTTTGGTGAGGATCTCCGACGGCGGGAAGAAGTCTCCGAGGAGGCACGACAGAACTGTACACAGCACCTCCACTTCCATGGAATGTCCCTTGCGGATCTTGTCGAATATCGCGGAGGTGCGTTCGATGGAACGCACCAGCGTCTCCGGCTCGACGTCCGGCAACGGCTCCTCGACGCCAGGCTGATTCAGCCGATCAGCCGCCTCCGTGTACATGCACGTCAGCAGAAGTTGCAGCGCCGGTAATGCGAGCAGGGGGCTGGGTTGCTTCAGCCGGTCTATCGCGACTTTGACGATCTGCTCGGCAACCTTGCCGACGACGCTTTTCGTCGCCACGAGCCTCTCAAGACCCTGTCAAGATAAATCAGCATTCATGTTACCGTCATTTGTGCGTTAATCAAAAATAAGGTTAATAATATAATATATACCTGCAGAAGAGTTTGATGTAAACCGTATGAGACATTTTGAGACGTGACTAGAGAAAGGACTAATTCCAACACGGCTGGCGCTTCCGTGTCCGGCGGCGTGTCCTCCGCATGCTCCAGTAAGAAGAACACCAAAGCCCACATTATTCCCTGATGCTCTTCGCTCTGACTTAGAACACTGTATCAAAGGCAACGAATTAGAAAATGGCCGCAAAATAGTATCAAACAAATCAATAAATGTTTTTTCAATATACTTTTTTTTATCAAATAAAATTAAAATAGATTTTAAATCATTACCTATTCAAATCCTGCGAATCAATGTGCTTCTGTATATATTCAATGGCCAGGGGATGTATAATATTCATTGTTTCTTCGCATTTGGCCAGTACCGCGCTTTGCAGCAAGTACAGAGAGCCGTGAAGCGCGGATACTCTGGAAGCCAGGAATACCGACTTTAAATTAGCATCCACTATGCGCTTTACTTTATCCAACGTGTCCAAGTCCTGCAAAGTGATAAAAGTTAAAAGTGGATTAAACATAAAGATTTTCATTTTTTTTTATCGTACGAAATTCTCAGCGCGTACCAAAGGCGTCAGAACGGCGGCGGCTTTGCACACAGAGACGGTCAGGTACTGATGCAAGATCGCGTTCTCCGTTGGATGAACCCTCGAGACTTCCAGGCACACGTCCAGCATCCACTGGTACTGCGATCTCTCGAGGAAGAGCTCCGAAATGGCCAGAATCGACTTCATGATCTCGGTCAACAGCTGTACGGGCGTGTTAGCCTGCGGTGACGTCCAGATGGTGTAGTGCTCGATGAGAAAGCGCAGGCAGGAGTCTAGATCGAGGGAGGCGGACATCAGCGCGTCGTTCCGCCTGTTCTTCAAGTCGAGAACGGAAGCGTTTAACTTGTCCTCGTATAGATTGCACAGCGACCATAAATAGGAGACCGACAGTTGGCTGTACATGTATCGGTCGGAAACCGCGGTTCTCTCCACGTTGCCCCGCTGGAATATGTGATCCAATCTCAAGCCGTTCTTACTTTCCGCGTCGTTCATGTACTCGTACTTCCACAGGAGCAGCTCCTGTATCGTAAATAGTTTCTGCGAGCTGGTTTTGTACACGGAAAGTTGGGGATCTCTCGGATGGTGGATCAGAGTGCTGGCACCGGGATTGCCGGGACACGGCAGCAGCAGGGTTTGCAACAGTAATCTCGTGATCGCCTGAATCGCCAGGCTGCTCGCCTGTATCAAAGCCGCGATCTCGTCCGAGGGCGTGTTCTCATTCTGCAAGAAGTTGAGAACGCTCAGGAACGCCATCCAGATCTCCTCGAACTGCGATCGGGACGTCCAACCCAGTAGGTTCACTCGGTAGATAAACTGCTCCAGAACGTCCACCTCCTGCAGTAGATTGGACTCGGACGACATGAGCGGAAAGTAGCACTTGGTAGGGCCCGAGCCGACGATGTGACAGCCGCGTTTCCACATCAGCGGAGGCGTCAAGATGTAAGAGTTCACCAACGGCTGACGGCTCATGCTGATGACCAACGACTTTATCGTATTGAACAGATACGGCGGAATGTTCCTCGTGGTGCCGTCCGCCTGACACTTCTCGATCCAGGCCACTATCGACGCCATTTGAATGCACGCCCGGGCGTAATCCTTCGTCTCCTCGTCCTGGAGAGCCGGCTCCAGCGCTTGGCAATCCATTTTCGGCAAAGGATCCACCGTCGTCAGTATACTCTCTACGATCCTCGTCAGAGAGATCGCCGCGGAGCAGACCCACGTGTGACGCGCGTTGTCGCTGAAAATCTTATTCGGGGCGGCGTGCCGCAGGATCTCGGCCGCGCAACTCAGCGCGAGGTCCATGTCGTGCGGCCTCAATCGATGGACGCCCTTCTTGTCCGAGTAGATCATCCAGTGCGCCAGCTCGAGACACAGCATGGAGAACTTGGCGATATCCTCCTCGAATTTCATGTCTATCTTCGCCACGTTGTACTTGGCCAGTTTCGGTAACGTCTTCATGTAAATTTTGACAGTCGGGATTATCGTGAAGAGGATCTCCCAATACAGAGCGTCGCTCAGCAGCTCGGAGAATCTAACGGCGTACTTCACTTCCTTCCCGCTGCTGTTATCCGCCTCCGGATTATAAATCTGATGTGGCTTCGGTACGAGCTCGCAGATGTAACGAATGTGCTCCAACAAGCACTGCTTGGCAGCGACGTACAGAGGACTAGCGTCGAAATAAAAATCCTTCTCGCTCTGCGCTTTACCGAATTCCAACTTTTGGCACTTCTCGACGGTGAGGCGGGCTCCCAGTATCACACAGTGCTTCAAGATCTTCAGATTGAACTCTTTACAAGAAAGAATGCTCAGGCAATCGTCGAAGTCCAAGTCCTTCAACAACTGCGCCAATTCCATGGGATTGTTGCCGGCGCTTGCGTGGCAGCAACGTAGTCTCACTTGAGACAGGAACCAATTCCGATCCAACTGTATGCTCTTCACCGTGGACGGATTGAACGGTCTGCACTGGTCGAGCTCAAGCGGTGACAGATCGTAATATTGCACAGCGAGCTTGTTCAATAAGCTGACCAAGCTGCCGTGTTTCCTCGCCAGCTTGGTGGTCTGCAGAACGTCCATGAGCTTCACGATGTCGTCCTTCGACAGCTGGTCCTTCACGTCGTCCGCGCTGGTGGTCAACAGTATCTCCACCCGGCGGCTGGCGATCTTCGCTGCGATTCTCGACAGGGCGAGATACTTGGTCGACAACAGCCGCGGTATCAAGGTCATTATAACCGCGCCGCTTTGCGAGTGGTGCGCGCCCTCGATACACTGCAGCAGGCGCTTTATGAAGCTGGGCTGCGATAGATCCGTGCACTTGGTCGCCACGGCCTGCACCAACAGCCCGCTGGCCGCCGGATTCCTGTGTATCGCCGTGGTCAGCAGATCTCTCACCGGAGATTCGTTGGCGACGTTTATCGCCTCCTCTATGTGATTCACCAGCAGCCACGTCAGCGGCTCCACGTCGTTGAGATTCTCGCATATGTAGTCGCAGAACAATATAATTCCGCCTCTTCTAATGATCTGGATGTTCGTACTGCTGTTAACGCAGTCGCGCGTCTTTCTCTCGTTCGATCGGACGTGAGCGGACTTGTTGCTGGTCCCCAATACTTTCGACCAAAAGGACATCTCGTTGTAGCCCAACAGAATCATCAGATACGCCCACTGGCACGTCACCGTCGGGCACACGTTTCCGATGCTCAGCATCAAGTAGTTCAAGTCGTCGATGAGCAGCTTCTCCTCGTCGGACACGTTGCGCCCCTGAATCATCTGCATCGTCGCGTTCGCCACTTTGCAATGGCTGCCGGACTCGAACATGTGAATGCACAATTGCAGGAAGAACGCGAACTGATGGACGAGATAATTGTCGTCCGCCGTGTAATCGGCGAAGTCGACGAAGGGATCCGCGGACTTGTGATTTATCAGCCCGAGCAGACTGAACACCTTCGTGCTTATCAGATTGATCACCTTGAATATGAATCTAGCTAATATTTGCTCGGGCGGCATCTGGTGCGATTGCACGCTCGAGGCGTTTAACGGATCCGCGCACTCGCGGGGGAAGGAGCTCCGAAGTGGCGAGAACAGATGCGACACGTCCGACACGCATACGTTGAGATCCGAGAGACGCGCCAGCATTGCCTCCTCCTTCGCGCACGAGATCAGCGAGAGCAGCACGACGTTGATCATCCCCAGCCAACGCTTCAGCTTCAAGATCGGAGCGGTCGCGGGTATCGACGCGGTGAACAGTATCTTGAGGAGTGGATCCACCGGTCGGAAGACTGTGGGCGAGATCGCCGCGAAAAGTTTCACCAGCGCGACGTGCGCCCTCTCGGACTCTATTCTGAGCTTGCCGGCGGCCAGTATCGGAAGCACGGTGTCCATTGTCAGTCTGGACCATCTTCGCCATTTCTCCTCGCCGTTGCCGTCCCCGCTGAATCTGGACTCGGCCAGACACAGCGCCAGAAGTTCGACTACCTCGTGATACTCCACCAAACGCAGCAGCATGGCTATCAGCACGTCCCTCGTCGTCTCCAACTCCCGCTGCTCGACCACGCTCGAGCTTCCATTACGGATGAGGAATATGTCCTCGATGACGGGCGCGAGCGCGGGTATGCAGTGCGTGATCGCCGGTTGACCGCTCGCCATCAGACCGTCGCACAACTGAATTATCTTCGGTATGCCTATTATCACCTTGGAGTGATTCTTCTCGTACGAGAGATGCACCAAGAAATTGAACATTTTCGGCAGAAGATTCTCGGTTTGTTGTACGTGGCCCTCCTCGATGAATTCGAACTGCTTCAACACGAATCCGATGAATATTTTGTCGGAGTCCAGCAGGCAATAGTTGACCTTCAGTTGAACCAGCTGACTCAGCAGCATCAGAACCTGGCACTGCAGCGCGATGTTGCTCGTAACAGTGTACTGCTTCAGAGACTTTATGACCATCGGTTCGAAGAGTCGGATGAAGGACGTGACGGACGTTTTCTGGTCCGAGGATCGTACCAAAGTCTTAAACACCGAAGAAAATTTACGATCGCTTTTTCTACGCAGCAATCCTATCCACCTGGAAGCGAGAGAGAGAAGGCGTCAGTATACCAGCCTGCACAACTTGGTTGTCGGAGGTATCGGTAGGTAAGTAATACTTACCCGTTGTCCGGCTCGTTCTCGCCCCTGCAATTATTTCCAATGCACTTGATCGTGTTCGCCATTTGCCTGGCGGGGTGTTGAAAGCACTGGTTATAAAAGCCCCGGACATCATCTTGCAGCGTGCCGCAACGATCCACGTTCTTCTGCACGTCCAGCTCGCTCCATTGCGCGCACACGTTCGTACCGAACAAGCATTTCAGCAGTTGCTGCACACACTGAACCGTTGCCGTTGGTGACAATACGACGGTGGTTTTTAGGTAACATAACACTTCTTCCGCGATTCTACCTGCCTCGTTGACGGACGCGATTTCGAGGATCTGCGAGAGAACGTCGAGCGTCGCGTTCAGCAGGGAAACGTACATTTCGCTGGCCTCGTGCTGCAGGGTGACCGAATAATTGGAATGCGCCGCCTTCAGGATGTCGTATATCTTCATGTAATGCGGCATGCCGATGAACGTTCCCATTAGCTCCTTCCCGCCCTTCAAGCTGCCGATCTTTTCGCTCCTCTCCTTCGACTTTTGCTCCGGTATGATCTTCTTACGGGGCGACAACGTTTGCGTGGACAAGGACGGCAACACGGGCTTGGCACTCGCCTGCACCAGCTGCACCTCGTCGATGACGTGGACGAAGATATTGAGAACTCTCGTGATGTGCGTCAACAGTAGTTCCATGTATCTGTCCTTGCACGTGCTCCAAAGTTTCATCGGGTCACCGCCAGTCTTGAAGTTGCAGACGGCCAACCCGGAAGCCAGATTGCCGGCGAGGAGGATCAAGTGTCGATGCGTGGACAGGTCTAAGCTAATGGTCGATGACGTTAGCAGCGGCAATGCCAGTGACAAGAGACCGCTGCACACCGGAGAGGAAATCATCTCGTTCACGAAACTAATGTCATTGGCTTCCGATCGATCGTTATTCTTCTTAGACTTCTTCAGCAACGTCTTTGGCAGAATACAGTCCCATCCTCTGACGTAAACCGTAGTCGGGTAGGTCTCGCTCAAGCAGAAGAGGGTCTCGCAACAGCCGTAAATTAAATACTTCGAAGAATGCACCGTAAGTATCTCCGTTAGAATGTTAACTATACGGGATAGAGAGTATTCCAGACTAGAATCGTAGTTCGTCTCGTTGTGATTCAGAAATACAAAGGGCTTGATGGATGTGTTCACGAACGGTTTATGTTTAGCTTGGTACGACGACAGTTCCGAGATACTTGACGTTACCGCGCTTAAAAACTGTTGAGTATATTGCGTAGCCTTCCTCGTAACGGTATCTTCTTGAGGGTGTCGAAAATACAGATACGGAATACTCCTGAAATAATAATAAAATATATATATATATTATAATATTGCAACTTGAGTAAAAATAATTAATAAAATTGCACAGTTAGAAATGTATCTTACTTAACAATCGCATCTGACGCAGCGTGTCTCACCCTTTGGTCCTGATCGCCTAATAACGCTATTATAACATCGATAAAGTGCTCTTGGAATAACGACTGTCCCGTTATGTGTTCTATGGTAATATACGACAATTTGCTCAATAAGTCAGCTAATTTTACTTTCACGAGAAAATATGGATTCTTCATGAGTTTTGGCAACGTAGTTAAGACGGTAAGACCGTATTCATTGTCGATGGAATCTAGTAACTCTGGCAGGCAGAGGTTCAACGCGTCCAACGTTTGACGGCAAGTCGTCGCGGAATCGTCGTTCAAGCCCTGTACAGATAGAAACAGAAGACGTTAAGTAAAACTCTCGAGATTGATGTCGTCTCTTACAAAACTAGCAAACTTAGACTCACTTTTAAAAGTAACTTTATCAGGTCCTCCAACGATACAGTCCCGTGCTCTTGCCGAGCCAGACACTCCGCCTCGAAGTTCCGGAAGGAGCCGCCGTACTGAACAAATATAGACTTTAAAAAGATTCCAATCACCACCGCTATATTACCCCTGATCTGAGGATCTGGGTGATTGGCAAATAGCAAAATGTCTGCAATCAATTGGTTTGTCTCATTGCAGCTTGGCTCTTTGGCCACGGTCGTGGTAAACAAGTGCGGATAAAGTTTGAGAATGTAACCCACGCATGTCAGTGCGAGTGACTTTACGCTAACGCGAAATAACTTGTCCGATATCAGTTGCCCGGGCCTGCCCGCCAGCAGAAAGGACGACACCAGGTAACGGCAGCAAAACTTGACGGGCATATCCGAGTCCGTGAAACTGCCGACGTAAGTCTCGTACAGCGCGAAATCCAGGGAGGATTTCTTCGGGGAAGCGAACGACAGAGTGTTCTCGGAATTATCGTCCCCCTTCGAGCGTTCATTTTGCAGGCTCGGATACGGCGTTTTCTCGGACTTTTCCATCTCGCTTTCGATATCGCTGCCTTCTTCTGTAACATCATCTAAAAAAAAACAATGAAAGTTAATAAAATGTAAGATCGTAACGCAAGTTACGAGTTTACATGCTCGCCCTTACTGTCGGTGGTTTCGATTTTCAAATTGCAATAATTCTCCAATATCTTCTCCTTCGTCTCCGTCGCATCGCTCGTACATTCGTCCTGCGTCTGTGTATTGCTCGTGATCGACAGTGTTTCCGTATCGGCGATCCACTCGGCGTTCGGGGTAATCTCCGGAATGTCGGGCTCGTGCAAGTTCAAAATGGAATCCGAATTGCCGCCGTAAGCGGTACTGGCGCTGGAGATGCTCATGTGGCCCAGCGAGGGAATGCATGCATTTTGATTTAATATTATTCTACTTTGCGTTATGCCCCGCGAGGACAGTAAAACGGACACCAGTGGCTTTGGCGGCGCTTTCAGAAGTTGCGCCAAGGTCTCTAAAGCCGCATTTACGACATTGTGATCGGAATGCCATTTCGTATAGTGCAAACACAATTCGTAAATATGTAACAGGCTGTCCGTCTGCTGCGTCTCGACGTCTTGGGGCTCTGTGGGTTTACATATGTAAGGTAAAATCACTCTCAGGCATCCGAAGACGCCTATAACGGTAGAGGAATGATCCTCGGCGTTTCTCCCTGACGTTATCATATCTGACAAGATAAACATCATTAATAAACGAATGTCCGTGCGTCATGCAGCGCGTCGTAATTACTTAGCGTACCTAACATGTAATCCAGGACATAATTTAAAAAGAACTGCGGCTTTCTGCAATTTATGCACGTTGTCAGAATCATATTAGCTGCCGATCTACGGAAAACCGCCTGAAGGGAGGAGATATTTTCAAAGAACGCCCTCAGCAAATTCTGAAACAAGATTTAATTCTTTTCTCTTCAAGCTCACAGAAATAACTTTAATACAGGTCGGAGACGCCTACCTTGACATCCTTGTCCGTCATAAATGGTCCTAATACTTTGAAGATTAATGGTAACGACTGTGATAACGTTTCAATTACAGTGTCCTCCGACCGATGAGCGATAATTACTATACACGGGATCAGATTTGACACGTAAGCTTTGCCCCTTGAGGGACGTATCATGTGGCTCAGCAAGCCGAATCTCCATAGCGCAGCCCTCAGTATACGGGCAGGTCCGTTCCTCTTTATTTCATTGTAAAGCTCTATCTGAATCTTGACGATGTTACTGTCGACCATTGCCTGGCAAGGAACGTACCAATAATTAGTATATTTGTTCAATGGATTGCTCTTAAATCTTTAATTCCTTAATCCTGTGTTTAATTTCTCAATCTGATCGCTTTCACGCTCTGTTCGTCAACACCTACGACCTCCGGCTAATATTGAGCGTGTAAAAGCGAGAAAGCGCGACTGTACCCTTATAATTTTGTTGAGAGATTCATCCGCGACCATCCTGACGTCGGACTCCTCATCGTTACAGAGTGCCAGCAGCGTTTCGACGGTGGCGCTGAGAATCTGCGGGAACTTGGTGTTCTGTCTGACGGTCGGCGAGCATATCCCCTCGACGATGACCGCGCAGCACGACACCTTCTCCTTCCTGCTGTTCAAACGTGGAAATCTCGTGTTTATCAAGAAACGAGATTGTCCTCCTCGACCGATCTCGGAGAGGTGTTTGCACCGCTCTCATACCTCGTCCCGGGATCCGACGGGGTGTCCGACTCCCGCAGCCCGTTCAGCGTCTCCACGGCCTTCAGCACGTTGTTCAGGTGAGCCATGCCGGATCGCGGAGCGGTCTACGCCGGCTTCTACGGTGGGCCACCTCAAATAATCGTGCGACTGGTGAATAACATCCTGCCTCCGCTCCCGGGCCCGCGAGTCTATGACAGATCGCGACGGACACGCATCACGAACTACATCGCCGCACGCTGGCCGATCGCCATTGCCACGAACCACACGGACGTAGGAGGTGCAGACCGGTGCAGACTGCGCATTCCGGGTCAACGTGTGTGATAGAAAGAGAGAGGGAGCTCTGACAGGTCTGCCTTTTCTCTCTTTAATCTTTAGAGAGAGGGGGAAGGGGATTATATATATATATATATATATATATATATAAAGCATATTTATATATTAAAATACATATGTACATCAAAGTAGCCAGCATATAAAATTATAAATAGAACGTCGTGAAATCTAACGTGAATTATAGATCGTCTAAATCAATTTCAGACTGCGCATGCGCAGGATCGTTGCACGTGTTCGGAGAAAAAAAGGTGCTGCGATCAGCTGATCAGCTGGATTTGTCGCGATCCCGATCGATTTTGGAGAATTGAAGAGATTTTTTTTTTTAAATAAAGTTAAAATTGTTCTGCACAGCAACGAGATTCCTGCAGTAATCGATCACGATGGTGCGAAAACTGAAGTATCACGAGCAGAAGCTGCTGAAGAAGGTGGACTTCATGTCGTGGCAGGCCGACAACAATCTCCACGAGGTTAAGATCTTGAAACGTTATTGCATTCAGAGAAGATCGGACTACACGGTGTAAGTGTGATTATTAAATTAGTACATTAAATGATGCAAAAATATATAAATTTTAACATTCGATAAATATATAATATTATATAATATAAATATATTTTGCAAAATAAAATACTACATAATGAAACGCAAGATATGATGTGGCTGCATTAATATTTATCGAAATGATTGTAGATACAACAAACTGTCACGCGACATACGGGAGTTGGGTAGGAAGATTAAGGAAATCGAGCCTGACCATCCCTTTCGTATCGAGCAGAGTGCTGCCTTGCTGGAGAAGCTGTACATGATGGGCCTGATCTCCACGAAGTGGGACCTGTCGCAGACTCAGAAGGTAACCGCCAGTTGCTTCTGCAGACGGAGACTCCCGGTTGTTATGGTGCGCAACAAGATGAGCCAGACGATAATGATGGCGACAAAATTGATAGAGCAGGGCCATGTCCGAGTCGGAGTAGAAGTCGTAAAAGACCCCGCGTTTTTGGTAACAAGGTAAGGTATTTTGTGCCCCATTCACATCGTGCAAGTATCGAGGAAATAACAAATAAAACGGATGTCGATTGTATGTTTTACAGGAATTTAGAGGACTTTGTAACGTGGGTAGACACATCTGCTATTAAGAAACACGTATTGGAATACAAGAACGAGGTAAGAATTCTTCAGCTTTCTTTTATATATTATTGCAGTTAAATTATATTTTTTCGCAATTATACATATAATAATATATATTTTTTTGTTTTACAGAGAGATGATTTTGATATAGTGTAATCTAGATTCACTGAATACTTTTACTCGTAAAACTATGTTTTTTTTTTATAAAAGAAATATTTATTTATGCAACAATGTATATATAAAGATCTGCATTAATGAAGAAATTAATTCTACGTTTACTCTGTATTTTTTATTTGTAATATTAAATGTGTCTTGAGGAAAATTACTTTCAGCATAGCACCATCTTTGTCCGTAAAAGGGTTTTACCTCGAAATGAAGTACGCATAGATTCGTTGTAATAAAAGAAAATTTATTAAAAGTCGGATTAGTTCGTCACCACTTTGAGAAGATTGTATGAGTCGCCTAACATAATAATCGCTTAAACATAAGCGCGCAAAGAAACGCATTCACATGATCGTAAACACGAAGGATCTTGATACTTCGGTTTAGCGCAGATGCGACACTGATTTTTATAAAGAGATTGCAAACAGTTTAGAAAATATCGGTTATGTAGCACTTTCCATATAACTAAAAAATCGAAAGCTCACATCAATATCATGTAATAAAATTGCCATTAGAATTTTTATATATTCAGTTTTACTATTTCAGTTTTCTTATTTCGGTGTTTAATCTCTGCCTATAAAGATACAGATCGCATTCAAGATGTAAGCCGAGAATCAAGATGACCGCATCTAGCGCTAGTCGAAAAAAAAAGGGAGCAAGAGTACAGTAACGTGAATTTTTTACACGATTCGCTGACAATATAAGATTCGATAAGGAGAACGCATATCTCGGAATTTGTATCGTACTATAGGAACAAATCTCGCCAGAATCAGCATTAGGAAACGCAGCGTGGAAAACGACGAAGGAAAGAACTGGAGCAACGATGAATCTCGTACCACGTGCATTCCGAGCAGCCACTCATTCATATACTTATAATGATAATTAGTATTTATTATGATTATGATACAAATGTTACATGTTAATATCTTTATAGTAATCGGCAGTCTCTGTGCTGGTCTCTGTGACATCGCCGCCGCGTTAAGTAATCTTTATTACGTTCTAGAGAGCACTCGGTCCACTTTTTTCTCTTTTTTCTCTCTCTCTCGTCTTCGCACTTCTCTAGAACGTAACTGACAGATCAAACGGGGGCGTGTGTCGGCTCAGGTCCCTAAGTATCTCCTCCTCCTTCTCCTTCTCCTCCTTCACCGTCAACTATTTACATAATTGCCTTGCGAAATCTCTCCGTAACACGCTGCATTTATTCACGGAAGGGGAAAAAAAAGGGAACGTTTAACGTTGCTTTCTTTTTTTGTTCCGGATTCCTATCTACCTCCGCGGCGGTAACCGCCATACCGGCCTTGCGTGAAATTTTTACTCAATTCGTTCGAAATGAAATGTGAGTTCGTGATTGCGCGTTTTTTTTTCCGTAGTACAGGTATACGTGATATTTCCGATATAAAGGCCCGTAGGTGAAATATATCGTACAAAAGAAAGAAGCAAAGACGAAGCGAAAAGAAAAAAAACGAAAGGGAAAGGAGTAATGTAAATACACTTTGCGCGGCTGTTATTAATTATCGATAGGCGAGACGTCCACTAACAACTCGCGAGATACAAAATAACGTGCATCTCTTATCGAACGTGTTTCGTATTACTATCTATTGTTTCGTTTCTTCTTACATGGAGATATAACTGTTACATGTGGAATTTCGCACCACAACTGACTATTCGCGACTTTGTTCCCACCACGAAAGAAATTCAATTCTTTCTTTTCTGAATCATCCTACTGTTCTTTGTACAAGTTCGTTAACGTATTCTAGTCTATCGATTAATCTTAACGAGATACCCAGTGAATTACGTTGTAGTCCGTACGGCTTGCAAACAAACGTATCGCACAACAAAATGCAGCTGCATGGATATTTCCATAACAGATTGTATCGTTTCTTTTTCCCCGTGAAAGTAACTATTTGTTTGAGAACTCTATAAGACGCTGAGTATCGCGCTAAACTCGAAATTTGCAAACCTACATCGCTATATCTGGGGGATCGCCCAAATTCTGAGAAATCATGACAAGGTCCCCGCTGGCTATTTCTCAGGTTTTGGTGGAGTTCACCAAATTTAAGCATCCATGCTTCTTTCGATATTCGAATGTCAGAACTGAGCTGGTTTAGAGAAAGCAAAAGTAACAAAGTATAAATATATTTTTTGTGTGTGGAAAGATCGCATAATTAAGGACCGTGATGTAACGAGAATAAGTAAAAGAAGCGTTTTCTTGAGAAAACTGTACATGCATTTAAATACAGTTTGCAGCAGTGAAGAGAATTGTGAGTCACAATGAAATGGCCAACTTTGTGTGACGTATTAATGAAAACGTATGAAGATTTCAAATGGATGACTGCTTCGATGGAAAAGAAAGATTCTTACAGTTGTACACTACTATCTACAAAAACTTTAATGTTTTTTTTTTGTAATTTTAATATTCTCTTCGTATTACGCTCTCGTGTTGCAATTAATAGTATAAATTTTACATAGGCAGTTTTACATACGCTACTGTACAAGACGAAGTGCAAAAAGTTTTCACACCTTTCCACTTCAATTTAAATATAAATTTATCAATACAAATAAATCTACGGCGTTAGACTCAAATATAATTTTCATAGAATAATCTGACATTGAAAAAGGATTCTGGATAATATCATTTAGAATTTGAAAGCAGCGTCACCGATCCATAATTGTGGATCGCAGTGACGTTGGCTTTACGATGGCTTAATTTATTCAATAAAATGTTTACCTCGTAAAGCAGAATAAATTAAAGCCGCTTATTTATTATCCATTACGCTCTACATTCAATTCACAGGGCCAGTCGTTCCATCCTCGGGATAAAAAAAAATCCGACAAATAAATCTACGTCTCCGCCTGGATCGCGGCATCGGCCGCGATGCAGACAGAGTGATAAAGGTTTGATTGAACGTTGGAAAGACTGGTCCTTCAAGACAATGTCGAATTTACGCTTTTTGTTAATCCTCCAATATTATGCTATCTGATATTGAATTCCAGTCTCTGTGTACCTGACGTACTGCGGTTAACAAAATTATCAACTGGTAACTAAATAATTCTCCCCCTTCACAGTTGTATCAATCCGATCACGATTAACAATTCGATTGTATTCAATTGGATTAATTTCCCTGAAGAAATCAAATCAAGCGTTAGATAGTATTTTCACTGTAAAAGTCCGTAAAACTCATGGATGAAAATGAATGGAAATTTATAGAACGAATAAGTATCAGAATGTGAATTGTGGATAGCCATAAGCTTTGGAAGATTGACAATGTACCCATTTTGTCCATTCAGAATCGTGATTTTCACAAATTATATTTTTACATACCGGAATGCACGTGGTGGACATTCAATTACAATTTCTTTGTGGCTGCAAAATATAAATATGTACGATAAAAATAACGAAGGCTTCTTATCGAACTTTTAGTGTCAGCGCTATCGGTAAAAAGATGCGCGTATTATCGCCGGAATACGATAGACAGCATGATTTTTTTAACAACAGGTAAGTACAAGACACTTTTTTGTGCTCAATTTCGGAGTACACCTACGCGTTTCTCTATCGGATACAACGAACTGCATTTCTCTCTTATTATATATGCTGCGTGGCAACGAGTAGATAGATTATTGCATGTCAACAATATCATTGTTATAACGTAATGTTACGTCGCGAAACATTTTTCCAAAGATTTTCCAGCACAAGTGGAACATGTGCCAGATTACATCTTATATCATTATTTTAATAAGCACAATTTTGATGCTTATTAAAACTCATGTAAATATATGAGCAATATATATGTAAATTATCAATCAAATTTTTATCAAATAATTGGAGATGACTTACGAATCACTTGTTAATGCTCAAGACGGACAATACCTACATTTTTTTATACACGCAAAAATCGAAGATTTAAGTTTAAATCGCATCCCCTTACGATTGACTTGAAATTGAGAGATGTAAGGAGGATTCAAGCAACAACATCTATGTTAAATATCTAGTAGAGATCCTAATAGATCCTAAAACACTTTTTCCTCCTCACAATTGCTACTCGGATATGCATATTGAATAGTTCTCGTCCAATACGCACGGTATGTATATCATCTCTGGATGGAATCGTGAAACGGTAACACTTTTTATAAAAATGGAAAATTCCTTCATTGGCGCCAGTAACAATTATTATGCTATTGCTTCGTGATTTTTTGATAGTGAAAAATCGGGCGAACCTCTATAATCCAAATGAATGTGTATATATATACCCCAACCTTCAATTTATAAACCTCTTCGGATAAATGAGAGATAAAGTTGAGTGAAGAGATAAGAGAGTTCCGCAACGGAGGAGCGCGCGAGAACGTAACGAGCGAACTCTTATGTAATCACAGTAGGCGCGTCGCGACCAGTATGCTGACAAAGTCCGCTTAATTCTAATGCGATATTAATTAAAGGTTTCAAAACCAGTTGTGCGTCTTTCTCGAAAGTAACCGGATCACTCTCGTAACTATCGATATACATACGGATAGTGGCACCAGAACTTCCCGTTCCGGATAAGCGGAATATTATGCGGGAGCCGTCCGCAAACAATATCCGTAATCCCTAATGTGACAAAACGTCATGACTAGCTTGAAGATATGAGATTATTAGTGCTAAAGAAACATATGGAACATACCTGCTTCGCAGCTTTGCTACTGTCGACAGGATCCGTGTAGGAGTAATTGTCCGCCTGCTTAACAACGTACTCCTTACCTTCGTACTGCAGCTTTCTGCCGATAAAATCTGGCTTCTGAATCAGGGCCTCGATGCTTTGCATCATTTTATCCGCGCACGCGGAGTCGCAATTTTCATAATCATACCTATAATACGGCCAGAAATTCAGGAACGTTAAATCAAAAGATATTAAGAAAATATATATATATATTTTTTTTTTCGATAAAATACACGTATGTGGTATACCTAGTAAAGAAGTTTCTCCCATAAACTTTCCAGTGATCCAACATAATGTTTTCCACGGATTTTCCTAGTCCCGCGATCACATTGAGCCACGCCAGACATGCCCATACTCCATCCTTCTCGCGAATATGATCGGAACCGGTACCGAAACTTTCCTCTCCACACAGCGACAGATCTCCAACATCCATCAGATTACCTGTAAAAGTTATATTAAACAGATATTGTAAAACTGATGATAATTTTTCGTAATACTCGTAGGATAAAAATTCTACAGTGCATACCGAAGTATTTCCATCCGGTAGGAACTTCGAAAAACTTCGCCCCATTTTTAGCGGCGACTCTATCGACAGCCGCAGCCGTTGGCATTGATCTAGCATATCCTTTAACGCCAGTCTTTTGGAAATACGGAATTAATTTTAGATTAGCAGCTAACACCGCTAAGGAATCGGAAGGAGTGACGAAGAAGGCTTTCTTGCCCAAGATCTGTAAGCGCAAGCACAATTTGAGCGAGACAATTTATTTGGCGATCAAAATCTGTTTTTTTTTTTCACTTTTCGACGAATTTTGCTCACCATATTTCTGTCTCCGTCGCCGTCGAAAGCCGCACCAAAGTCGTACGGTCCTTCCTTTATAGCATTCACTAAATCTTTGGCATAAGTTAAATTTGGATCGGGGTGTAAACCACCGAAATCTTCTAACGGCTTTATATTCACTAAGCTAGAGTCATCGACGCCTAATTCAGTGCTAAATATTCGCTTCACGTACGGTCCCGTGACTGAAAATTATTGAAAGCTATTACACAATGTCTAGTACAATGAAAGCAGCAGCCAAACGCAAATTATATAATGCCTAACCTCCGTTCATTGAATTGATGAGAACCTTAAACGCTGGCCTGTCCGCATTGCCTAGCAACAATTTTCTAATACCCGCGAAATCAAAAATCTCCTTCATCAGCACCACGTAATCGTTCACAGAGTCGATTATATCGACGGTAAACGGTCTGCCATCCACCTCGATAGTGATGCTCTGCACTTTGTCAATATCTACGCCAATATCGGGAATAATTTTGTAACACTGGAGCGTTTTAGTGATCTCGTAGATCTTATTAGTCACGTTGTCCGGAGCGGGGCCGCCGTTGTCGCAATTAAATTTAATGCCGAAATCGGCATCAGGACCACCAGGATTGTGCGACGCAGTTAAGACAATCCCTCCTTGCGTCTTATACTTTCGTATTATAGTCGACACCGCCGGCGTCGAGAGAACGCCATTTTGACCAACTATCAACTTCCTTACCTAAAAAAAAAAAAAATTATAATAGGTATATCTGGCCTCTCAATAGAGATATTAGTGTCGGTAGATAATCTGTTACAAAAGGATTGCTCAACTATATTACTTTTCTAAATAAAATTGTCAATGTCAAAGCATTAGTTCAATTATAAAAATAATAAATCTACGTTTTTAATGTCAACTTTCAAGTTCGCCGAAACTGTTAAATGTAATTGCTGTCATCAATGAATTATTTCTGTCTCGCAGTACAACATTCTTCGTCATGAAACGTAGTCGTATGTCAAGTCGTACATTTGTTGCTGCATCTTACCCCGTTTGCCGCGGCGATCCGGATGATCTTCGCCACCGCCTCCCTCCCGTAATACCGCCCGTCACCGCCGACGACGAGGGTGCAGCCGGTCAGCTGATCGCCCAGGGCGTGCAGTGTCGCCTGCACGAAGTTCTCCGTGTAGTGCTCCTGCTGGAAGACCTTGACGGCCTTCCGCAGGCCCGAGGTGCCCGGCTTCTGGCCGTCGTACACCCGGGTGCTCACCGTCAGGCTCGTCACCGACGTCGCGGTCATGCTCGCACGGTGGTTCCGCTGCGGGCGCGCTGCAACTGACAGGAGAAAGAACGATGAAACGAGGAGACGGAGGTTAAGGTTAATCTGCCCGGTCGCGACCGGCGAGAAGGCGAACCGCACGAAGACCGAACACACGCGACAGCCGTCCGATCACTGTCGGCGGACCGAACTCCGCCTGTCAATGACACGCAAGGGCACGGGCCGCACGGGCGTCCGGTCGCCGCCATCTTGGAAGATCGCGCGCGCCAGCTGTCGCGGCGGAGGCGCGGCGGCGGCAGCCCGCGGCGCGCACGTGCACGCCACGACCGAAATCACATGGGCCACATGGAGCGTCGGAGCTGTCGTTGACACCTCGGCCACCCGTCGGGTCATCCTGCGACTCCCGGGAGGACGGAAATTCGGTGAAATGATGAAAGGAGACTAAGAATTGAGAGAATCATTTTGACAACTGTATATCGGTACCGTTCGTAATCCCATTTTCATGATCGTCGCGATGTTACTCCGTAAATATAGAAGGTAATTTATATTATTTTAATCGTACCGGCACGTCGAACGATCGAAAAGACTGCGGGTACATTTCCTTTATTAATACTTTTTCTATCGAGTGGAGAGCCCGCGGCTTGCGAGTTTCTTTGTATTCTTGGGAATTTCTTTACTATCGGAAGAATTCTCAGGTTCTTTTAATATCTATACAGACTTTATGCAGTTCCCCTTTTCTAAAGCCGATCGCACAGCGTGCGAAGTACTTAGCTATTTCGAAAAACTGAGATTACAATGGAGCTTGAAAGAAAGAAACTTCGTATAAATTTGTTTTCGTCAAACTGTTACGTGAACATATATTATAACTATTTTAAATGATTGTTACTAAAAGGAGCAATGTTAAAATAAGGTTATCGGTTTTTTTTTCATTTAGAATTGAATCTTTGTGTTTTCTTTCCAAAAAAGAGACAATCTTTTCTTAGTGAATATCGAGTTAAAAACACATCAGCTTTTACGTAGCCAAGAATTTTATATTTTTTGCCTTTTTTGTACATACAATTCCAAGATTAGACTATCAAAAACATACGTAATTCGCTTCAAAGAAATCTAATTTATGACGGAAATCAATCAAAAAAGACTGTCTTTCTTTTTCTGAGAGGAAGCATAAAGATTTTTATCCAACTCTAAGTGAAAAAACGATAACCTTTTTCAACTGATTAAATTATCTTTCTATTAATAAATGCTATCCATGTGTTAGTTGACGTCAAGAATATTTGAAAAGGGAATAATGCTTGGGTACAATGTGAAATAAATGCACGCAAATTTGTGCCTACTTGTCGATTACTTCAGTTTTCCAGAGTCGCGCTTCAATTCTCTTGGCCCTCCCATCGAATTTACAGAAAACAGCAGAACGAATGAATAAACAGAACGAGGAAGAACGTTCGTGTAATCGTGCAGTATACGTAATAGAGATAACAGTTTCGTAGATAAAATAACGCGTGAATTAGCAACGCGGAAGCTAAACGAGAAGATATAGAAACGGAAACGCGTGTCTATTTTCTGTATATGCGGGATTTACTCTAGTCGCGTTCGTTAAACGAAAGAGAGTGCACGATTCGCTGGCTCTAAGCTGAAAGTCGTTTAAGAAGTCGTGACAGAAGTAAAAAAAAATCACACAAGTTTAATTCGCGTGTTTGACGTCAGCATACTTTACATTGCTCAGAATTAAGATAGCAGATGTACGGAGCGTTTGTCTCGGGCGTCTTACGTACGCGTCGCTGAGAGATAAGTGTTTAGGGTCGCGAGTTCGACGTTTGAAGTGCTAATAAAAGTGTTTGACTGCTGCGAAAAGGAAACCTGTATTTCGCGAGCACCGTTCAACAATCGAGAGAACGTTATTTTTCATTTTTCGTGTCGCAAAACTTCAATTTTTCCCGAGACTTTCCGGCAAACACGCGGGGAATCCCCAGCGGGAAAAAACACGGTCGCGAATGAATGATCGAAATTGAAATGGACGGTGGGTCATCCACGGGGTTGCTCCACACAATCGTCGCGTGAGAAGAGAATGATCTGCGAAGCGAGCACAATTAAAAGCACTCAGGCCGGCAATTCGCGTCGACAATTCAGATCCTACCATAGATTCTTATATCTTGACGATAAATTCGCAATTATGTCCTCTTTTATTGCAAGAGATTGCAATCTATCTGTAATGCTAGTAAAACAGAGGAAAGATGAATAATATTGTGGCACGTTAATTCAATTTTCACCGCGAAAATCTATAAGCTTTCGGAGAGACGACACACATATCTTTAATAGTATCTTATCGGTATTTTCACTTTTTCACATTTCCGCCCTGGAAAGAAAATTGTACATGATCGATACTGGCTACGTATTGGAGAACAATGAAATTGAGAAGAACGAATTTTCTTTCTCCCTTGCGGAAGCTGCGGATGTCCTGGAGCCGCGAGAGCGTCGGGGAGGGCGCGGAGAAAGGGAGGAGAGAATCCGCGAAAGAGAGTCACGCGATCGTCGCGACCGATCGGGTCGGCTGCAGCGGTTTTTAGCCGCGCTCGTTCGACGGACGATCGCGCGCGGCACGATCGTTGAAAAACGCGGCTGGAGGGAGGCGTGTTAAGTCAAGGGTACCGCCGGATACAAAGTCCGCGAGTTTATAAAACGGGGACGTACCTACTCCAAAACCCAGTTTTCCAGAGACCGAGGGCGCGCGATCGGTAGCCGCGTCCCGCGGGAGCGAAGTGATCGTCCCTCCCGATTACTCCCCGATCGAGCCGGCTCGTCCAGTCTAAACTATACGTCACGGGGACCAAGTCGCAATCGAGTCGTGTTGAAAGGGAAAAAAAGAAGAAGAAGAAGAAGATAGTGAGTTGGAAATTATTTGAGTTTCACGGCGGTCGAGGGTGGCAATTAAGTTTATATCGGATTATCGTGCCGCCAAAAATCCCGCCGATAACTTTTCGCGCGATCCCGCCGGTTAATCGGTTAATTTGGAGAAAGATACATTTATCATTTCGATAAGACCGCGTAGTACGTAAGGAGCCAGTTATTGAATTCGCTATCTAGTGCTCTCACCTCGCATTCAGCGCATTGATATAGTTTTATATTAAAAAGAGAGAGAGAGAGAAAAAAGGCGACGACGTGGGAAAAAGTCTCATCGGGCATGATTACGCAGTTCAATGCGACATAGAGCGCATCTCGTTCGGTTTCGTGCTTCCTTAAAGTGTTTTTGCATGCGTCTACATCCCTCGTATCTCCGCTCGTATTCGCCGCTCCGTGCAGCTGCTGCTGTTTCGAGGAGACGACCAAAGTGTTGAACGGAAGAAGAGGCTTTCTTTCATTACATCTTCTTTTTTGCCAGCTTCAGAGACATTATGTATAAGTCCCGTGTTTACCCAGGCAGCGACTCCTCGCTGACGCGAGACAGCGGATCCGAGAGTACGCCGTTACTCTCCTCGGAGTCTCGCACGAGCCCGGAACTGATATTCGGCGATTCGGAAACGAGCGACTTGGACCCGAGCCCGGCCGGCAGCTCTCTCATGTAAGATGTATGATACGTGAGATGCATCTGCGAGGGAGATGTGTCGTATTGTATTTTCATATAATTAATTTTATGTCTATTGAGGATGGCTTAAGCCGAAACGTTTAAAATATTAGTGTTAGTTGTGGTTAATATTGAGCAAAAACATCTCACTTGTCCTTTATTGTTTTCATATTTTGAATTTTATTGCTGAGCCTATACTGATATTTTTACTTAATTAATAATATATATAATACATATATTATATGTATAATTAATATAATTAATTAATAGCATACATATTATAGTCATGTAAATATATGACGTTAATAACGGCTACAATAAATGCAGACATCAATTATATTTATATTATTTAGAAATCTACGTTATCTATATAGATATGCATTTTCTGTTGTCTAATCTAGATATGGAAGTGTAGACACTGCCAGTTACAATACAATCCTAGCTACACCAAAGAGGCCATTCCCTTCAGTGCGGGATAGTGAATTGTTCGTTTCCACAATGGCGAACCCACCGTGCATAGTAGATTTCGATCATGAAAAAAATTACGAGCGCAATGTTGACTTGGTAAGAATAACATAACACACTATATGTTTCTTTCTCCAAAAAATCTAGATTATGAAAATCAACTTTTCACGAAAAACTCGTTCAAAATTTAGCAGTTTTCAAGAGAGAATAATTAAAAAAAATAGTTATAGTATTTCACGGTTTATGATTCAATTTAATATTGCATTTGTTTCTATAATAATTAAATGTAATTTTTTTTATTTCTTCACAAATGTAAAATCCGCTTTAGAAACTCGATTTCTATATCAGTGTTAAAAATAGCAACATCGGACTAATTTTAACGATAAAAATAGTTTACAAACAGTAGAATTGCTCAAATTTAAAAACCACACAAAATTTGTCACGATACTAACGAAACACGATAAAAATATTTATACATTTGCTTGGATGATCGATAAATGCGTTAATACAGATAATCCGATCTCTTCAATTCTGTGTATCTTATTCTTTTTTTGTTGTTAGACATTGACGAACGAAAATTCCAACGCGAAAAAGACGCACGAGATAGACTTCAAGCCTGGACCTCTGCAATTTCAATCCGATATCGTGCAGACTACCTGCAAGGATTTCAAGCCGAAGCAGAGTTCGCTGGTTACTATGTGAGTATCATGAGATAAAACCGATAGAAAAATTAATACGCAATTAATACAACGGAAGAATTTTTCGAATTGCGCTTAACAAGGGCAATGCGCTCCCAATGGGTGGCCTCTTAAAATCAATGAGTCCACCGATCGATACCCTTTCCTAGGCTTGCCCTAAATACCTTTTCCTAAGAGAAGAGATAGTGTTCAGCGGTACATTAGATTCAACAGATTACAAAAGAGATAACGGAATTATCCACCTTATCTAATTTCTATCGTTTGTGTGTCTGTCTGTCTGTCTCATCCCCAAAATTAAAACACCAGAAAAAATACCATTATAATTGAACTTTGACTCGTCGATGCGCACTAACGTTAATTCATTAAGTTAAAATACATTTTCTATCTATATAATACGTAAAATATTTCTTTAACATTTCCATAATAATATATACGTTCTAAGAAATAAATTTTTATACGCTAATTTCTAATTATTCTCTCAGATCTGTGTGAAACTTTCATTTAATAATTTAACATCCGATCGACGCACATCGCTATAACTTCTCCAATAACAAGTTTCAATGCTCATTCACCCCTGCGTTTTACGACAAGAGAGACAAAAGATTTCACGTGGGGTGGTCGCGCTAGGCCGCCTCGGCGATTCGAAGGGTCACTTCCCTCGCCCTCGTCTCGGCCACAGCTGACTGAAGCTGCACGCAGAAGGAGGACGCGGGGCGAGGGGTGCGAAATAAAAAAAATAGAAATCGATGGCGACGCGCTTATCGAAACGCCGGTGAAATATACTGGCTTATCGCGCGTTCAGCATGGCGCATGTTTTTTTGCTCGTGCACGTCCTGATCGGGATACGGGGGTAAATCTATAATCGTCGCGTATCGCCAATTGCAAGTCGTTTATCTCACGCGGATGGCTGATGGCAACCGGGCCGAAACTTGCATCAGCACATCTTCAATTGATTCTTTCTTCATCGCATCGAGCCGATATATCCTCCTCCGGCGGCGTGTGTGCGCGGCGTGTGGGGGCGAAATCGACAGCGCTATATTTCAGAGAGAGAGAGAGAGAGAGGAGAGAGAGGAGAGAGAGACGCTATCGCGCGCCAAAGTAATATCTCGTGCGTTGCGTACCAAAAAAAGCGTCATTGAGATAAAAGCGCGCGGTACGCGAATATAGTAGTTGCATGAAACGCTGCACGACAATTAATCCCGCGCGATTGGCGGCACGCGGCAATCTCGCGCTGGAAAATAACGCGGGAGTTGAAAAATAAACGTGGCTTGCTCGACGCGCAGGTTCCTCCCCTCTATCTACATACCGTGTCCTATGCATCGTCTTCCTCGGGGGGAGGAAAGCGCGAAAAGGGATGCCCCCTTCCGCGGTGAAAATCGCAAGGGAGAAATGCACGGGTCTAGCGCGCTCTCATCTTTTTATAGCCGCGGGTAGATGAGGGGGGACTCGATCGATGTCGTAAAATGTTTTCTCCCGTCGATTATCAGTTCAATATGTAAACAAATCGACGACATTCGCGGCTCTCTCGCGAAATCGACGGGTCAATCGCACGCCTCCTAATCGCGCGCGCGAGGCGGCCACACGTTTATGTATACCCGCGCGCACACGTACACGACACACCGTCGACGCGCCGCGTCCCTTTACATGTGACTGATATAACCTAGATACGTGACCGTGCGCGCGGCTGGACGCCGACACACGCGAGGCCGTGTGACTGGCGTGAGCGTCAACAGCGTTTTTACAGGCGAGCAGGTATTCGGTGGGCACCGTTTCGGGAGACTCACCGTCGCAGCGACCTCGCAGGCTTCCCCGTGGACGGGATCGTCGTGCATCGCGCGTCCTGGCCGTCGTCGACAACACACTACATAAGTACTACAACTCGCCGCGGAGCTGACGACCCGCTCCTCCCGCGTTCCCGCGTCTGGAAAACGAGCGAGCGGGCGAGAGCGGGTCGCCGCTCCGCTCTCGAATTCGCTCGCGCCGCCCCGGTCCTTTACCTCGGCCTCGTCAGCGTCCGGGGAACACGGCCGCTCGTTTTCCGAGACGCGGGAACGTGAGGTGTGCGCGCTACGCGTCGCGCGCCGCTCCGCGCCGCGCGACGACGTCCGGAGAGCGGAGCGTCTGGAGCGCGGCGCGACGGGGACGCCCCGAAGGGGTTACCGCTCTGTCTGTTGCCCGGGCAACAGACGACCGCCCCAAGAAGGTGAATGCCCTTAGCCGGCAATCCACCGCCGCCGCCGCCGCCGCCGCCGCCGCTGTCGGGCGCGCGCACCGGAGGTGCGCTCATCGCGGGTACCGCGAAATGCGGCGCGGCATTAGAAATTCTCAGATTCCAGCGCCGATTTGCACGTAAAACTGAACCTCGCGTTCGTCGACGATACTTGGAATTTAGAATCGCGCGACGAGATCAAACTTGAAATTAGATTGGAGTGGACCGGATTTCTTTTTTTTTTGTTCTTAATTCTGATAGTAAATACCTTTATTGCTATCGTACGCAATCTATGATTTTGTTATTTTTTATTTTACGATAAAGTTGAATCTCGGTTCGGCACGTCCGATGGATAAACAGAACAATTATAACGAGAAGAGATGAATACGTTTGAAATAAAGTTACGTATCAGATCAAGACTTTTGTTTATGACCTAATTTATAATATAAACTTTATCACATAAAATCGTTACATAAATTGCATACAATAGCATATGATATATTTTATAAATCTAAATTTGAATATTATATGGAATGTTTCTGATTAATTTTAATTTCTTCCTTTTTATTTATTTTTTCCTCATGATAAATATGAATCCGTTTTCGTAAAAACATAAGAAACAGACAGAGAAAATGATAGATTAAAGACTAGAAATAAAAAAAAAGTATTAATCTCGTTACTTCCGATATGTCGGCAATCAATTTTGTACTAATTCCGTATAAAATGATGAAGGCGCCTATGAACGAAATTGGGTCTCAGCTCGTTCGACGGATAAACAAAAAAATTAGAACGAGAAGAGAGATAGACGCATTTGTGAAACCGAGTGTTTTTTGCCTCCGAAAGAGCGTCTTGGCCAAAAATACTCCGAAAATGTGCGGTTATCTCGCGAGGTCGTCGAGGAAACGCATAGCTACGCACGATTTCGCGAAACGGCCTTTTCAATGGCGAATCAAGTTCATCAGTTATAGGATAAAGATACACGCATTGTCCTTGATCCATATAATCGCGGCCGGTACGACGCATATGACTGTTTATGATACGACCATGGGATTCGTATTAGATAACCGAATGATAGAAACATTGATGATAATGCGCATTCTGATGCGCAACCGGTCTTGCGAAGAAGACAGATAGAAGAATATCTTTTTACGGGCGCGATGTGCGAAGTAAATGCCGATTATCAGAGAAATGTTTATGCGTGACATGAATGTAACGTAATGTGCAACATTATTCAAGAGGAAATTACTGATAAGCGGCACATAGGATATCCGAGCCACGATCTTATTAATTATAGCACAAACTAGAAAATCTTTGATGACCTCGATCACTTTACTTCTCTGATATTCTGCAAATTCGAGAATCAGAGTTATATTCTGCAAAGTCGAGAATCATATGGAAAAATATATTCAATGTAGAATTTTATATATATATATATATATATATATATATAGAATATATATACAGTTTTATATACCCACGTCTAGGAATTCATCTGTCATAACTCTAATCGTCGAATAAAAATTTTTATTAAAACAAATCTATTCAAAAATATGACGCCGTAAAATTATCATATACTTTATTATTATACGAAAATATATTACATACCTATTTAATTCTTATATTTCAGATTTTCAATATGGAACACAATACTGGGGTCGTCGTTGCTGACGATGCCATGGGGAATTGCGATGGCCGGATTCTTTCCTGGGATCATCCTCAACCTGCTGATGAGCGGTTTATGCCTGTACACCGCTTATCGTCTCGTAGTGGCACACGCGTATCACGGTGAAAGAATCTTCTCTCACGAAACTTCTATCGCAATTAAAATTGATAACGTGTGACATAATTAATAATACTGTGATTAATTAAGGTGGTGGAGCAAACGTAGAAGTTTTAGACCTGTGCCGGGTATACCTCGGCAAGTGGGCGGAACACACCGCTAGAATCTTTAGTATTGCCGTACTGTTGGGCGCAACTATAGCTTACTGGATATTAATGGCCAACTTCCTGTATAACAGCGTCAATTTCATTTATGGTAAATATCCTCGCTCCAAATGTAAACGAGATACGAGTCTTCGCGGATTATCTTGGATTACGGATTATTCATTTTTACAGATAACATAGCTGGCTTGTCAACACATCCTGCGTCTGAGAACATTTCGAATAAAGAAGGTACACATATGCATGTTGCAGATACAAAGTTTTAATTCTCATTTCTCGAGGATAACGTGTGTCTCCACGGCAGTTTGGTTTTATCGCTTTGATATTACAGTTCTGTGCCCGAAAGAGATCCAAGACAATAACACCATTGTGACTTACGAGAAGACGTTCGAGGCTCTGGGACCAGCGTGGGATCTACGAAACACGGTGCCTGTGTTTCTGGCCCTACTGATATTTCCCCTCTTAAATTTCAATAGCACGACATTTTTCACAAAGTTTAATTCCTTCGGTGAGTATATATGCAAAAATATTCTCTCAATAATATCTTGTCATGTGTACAACTCTTAGGCCCGCGGTTTCACAATTCACGGTTAACTCGATTTATCTTTTTCTAATCTAAGAATTAGAAAGAGATAAACAGTTAAAACCGAGTTTAAAGTTAATTTTATATTTGTGGAACCAGGCCTTAAGTATAAAAATCTACCATTATGGGACATGTAACATTAAGTTTTTAATATATCTCGCAGGAACGGCGTCAGTCATGTATTTGATTGTCTTCGTTGTGATAAAATCAGCATCGTGGGGCGTCAACATGGATCAAGTCGAATGGGCAACGAGTTGGGTGATACGGCCGACGTTTCCGGCGCTTACCGGCATTCTGGCAATGTCGTTCTTCATCCACAATATCGTAATCAACATAATGCAGAATAATCGCAATCAAGAAAAGAATGTTAGTTACTTTAAATCGCGTTTTTTCTTATCCGTATCATCGACCAACCACTTGCGAAGATCAAATAGAAACGATTTTGCTTTTTAGGGAAGAGATTTAACCATAGCTTATTTCCTCGTCACGGTGACTTATATCATCGTCGGAGCAACGTTTTTCATGTGCTTTCCACTGCCTAAGTCGTGCATAGAAGACGTAAGTACGCGCAGTATTTTTTTCTTTTCTTAGAAACGATCAAATAAAAATATAAAGAAAAAATATTCTTCATTTCATTGCAGAATCTACTGAATAATTTTCAAAAGTGGGACGGCCTCACGATAACTGCTCGCATAGTGCTACTTTTCCAGTTGGTGACCGTCTATCCTTTGCTCGCGTACGTGCTACGTATCCAGTTGCTCTCGTGGATATGCAAAGGAAGATCTAACAGAGCCTTGGTGCTCTTCATTAATCTCGTACTGGTGTCCATATGTATCATTTTCGCGACGTTTGTACCTTACATCGGGACCATCGTCAGGTATACCGGCGCCTTAAGCGGACTCATCTACGTCTTCACTTTCCCGAATCTACTGCATTTGGCTATTTTGAAGAAAGAAGGAAAGCTAACCGTCTACTCGATACTATTCCATATAGCTATACCCGTTATCGGACTTTTAAATCTCATTGCTCAATTCTTTATCACAGATCGTTGATCGTGTAATTAAAGATAGATCTTACAGATTGTGCCATTGCATTTGTACGACATTCGACATTAATTATTTATGAATGCAATTGCGTACATCACTATTTACACCTTTTAAGAGAATACTATGCATTTTAAGAGAATCCGTGTTCGAAAATTACATTGAAATAAGTAGGTTTAAATACAGTAGATATAGAAATTTTTATAGGCTTTTAAAAGGCGCAAAATGCAGTTTATTGCATTTGCGAGAGTAGTTTGTTATATATAATAACAGAAGTTCACGAGTTGAAAAGTGTGTATTAAAATTTAGATCAGTATAATGGAGATTATGTACGTTTAAGTCAGCTGTTTCCTTTAAACATAATATAATTTATTTAATTACTCGCGACACAGTCTAGAAACGATATACTTTTTTACCGTAGAACAAAGTTCGTTAATGCTTTTTGTACTTTCAATAAACACGCAATAGTATTAGAAAATGTACAATTCTTTCCTACATTATAATTTATTCAATCTAAATGTATGTCCCTTCTAAATTTAAATTACCTCAAGTTCATCTCTGAGGTACCTATATCTTGTAAACCCAAACGGTGTCAACTCCGTGTCCAATTGTCGTAACGGGCAGCGTGTTAGGGAGAGGAAATCTGCACGCGATTACGAGGGAATCCTTGCCTAGTTCGCTATTGAGCTTCTTTTCGATATCCTCCATCTGTAAGAGACGACAACACTTCTTGACACATACATTTTACCTTTCCTCAAGAATTACGACGAATATTTAAGCGGGAAACGTACCATTTGATCCACGCCAAATATAACGACGTTGTCGTACCTTCCCAGGTGGTGTTTCCAAAGATCCCGCCTGAGAAACGCGGTGTCGGCCGACAGACCGTTAATCAGCGCTTGTAGCCTCGAGTACCACACCAGCCAGGTGTTCAGCTCGATGCCGTGGGCCTTGAAGCCGCGCTTCGCCGCCGCGAGAACCTATTTTTTATTTATTTATAAATTATCTCTGCACTCGCCGTTGGAAGAGTGGAAAAGTTTATCCCTGAGCGCGACCTGCTTTGCGTCACTGTTATATTATACATTTACGGCGTACGCGTCCCTCGCGTGACTCGACGGACTGGCGTCATCGCCGTCGCCGCGCGCGGCGATTATCATACTCACAATACGCCCGTCGCCGCTGCCGAGATCGATCAGGGAGCCGGAGCGGCCGTTCAACGCTCGAATAACATTCTTGATTTGCTGACGCGTGGCCGGCACGTACGGCAAACATATCTTGCGAAACGCAGGACTGACGAACGGAAAACACACGACGCTGATCGCTGTCGCAATCCCGCCTAATCGGAGAAAGAAACCGGCTTATTAAAATCAACGAGAGGGGCTAATTAATTTCAATTCGATAATGAAAGCAATATATGTTAGCGCGCCAATTAACGAACCTGTAGCCGCGACAAAAAGTAGACCGATCTTCGACGATTTTCGTGATTTCTCGATAGGAAGCTCCATTATTTCGATTCACCTCGCCAGGTAGCTTTTTTACATTGTCAGAGAAACGCTCGAACGTTAAAACGTCTATAAATGTGCAAGCTTGAATTCATAGTCTCCGAAGTTTCATGTCCCAGAAAATCGTCTGCGCGTCTCGCAATGCTTCTCGTTGCTTTCGTTCGCTCCTCCCATGGGTTTCCACGTGCCGAGCAGCTGAGCAGAGATCGAGACTAACCTAATCCGAGTCCAGGCCGCATGTGCCACACCGCGTCAGCTCTAGGTTATCACATCAGCGTTATCACGCGGATCACGCTCATTACGTGAGTTACATTTGCGTAATGCGCTGAATACTTTTCAGTCTAATCTAATTTTAATCTATTTTTTTAATAACACATACTTTTTATTTTAATCTGAACAGCGCACGTGCTTAAGTGCCATCCTCTTGACAGCGGCTTCGCACGAGACCCTCTCGCACGTTGATACCGCATTCCCGCGGAATAACGGCATGGCGAGGAGCTTGAGCGCAAAAATCGGCCCGTCGGTCTTAAACGCCGACCTGGCGCAGCTGTACGAAGAGTCGCAAAAGTTGCTGGACAACGGCGCGGATTACTTGCACTTGGACGTGATGGACGGCCACTTCGTTCCCAATCTCTCGTTCGGTCATCCGATCGTCAAGTGCCTTCGTAGTAAAATAAAGGACGCCTTCTTCGAGACGCACATGATGGTGTCGAGTCCGGAGCAGGTATGCGCGCAAGTTCGAAAACGCAATTAATTTCCCAGAGGACGGGAGGATGCAAAATTTTTATAAATTGATAATTTAATTGAAATATAATTACAGTGGATCGAACCCATGGCCGACGCTGGCGTAGATCAGTATACGTTTCACGTGGAGCCGGTGAAGGATGTTCCTCTGGTTTGCAGGAAGGTGAGGGAGGCAGGAATGAAGGTGGGTCAGCTCCCCTAACAAAAATTAATATTCGTTAAGTGATTCACGTTTAATTAAATGGAATCAATTTTAAGCACAGGTTGGCGTGGCACTCAAGCCAGGAACACCTGTGGATGTGGTGACAGACTACGTGGATCTAGCAGACATGATCCTAGTGATGACCGTGGAACCTGGTTTCGGCGGGCAGAAGTTTATGGAACCGATGTTAAAGAAAGTCGCATGGCTAAGGGAGAACTATCCTGGACTGGATGTTGAAGTCGACGGCGGAGTCGGACCAGCTACAATTGAAGCTTGTGCAAAGGTATAGCTTGTCAAAAGATTACCGCAATGTACAAATGATGCAGTTAAGAGTTGCGTGCAAAATTAAATCTGCATTCATCTTCACGTCGATATTACTTTTTAGGCTGGCGCTAACATGATCGTATCCGGCACGGCTGTCATAGGGTCTGCTGATCAAGCTAAAGTAATAACGACTCTTAGAGACACGGTGAATTGCTATTTGGAGCACAGTCATTCAACATAACGATGGCAACTGTAAATACACAAAACATTCCTGCGATAAACTTGGCATTTTATATAATATATATATATGTACAAAAATATAAATACAAAGATGTATTTTTTTTACAATAACATGGCAAACAATCGATCTGATAAAATTCAACATGACTTTAACAGATACATGATGTACTTGTTACTATTTTATACCATTCATGCTACTATTATTTTTTTAGAAGTTCTTTCGTGATATCTTTAGCTACTAATTTAGTTCTCAATTCAGCTAGAGTTATGAGTATAGCCTCCTCCGTTCGGATTGTTCGCGATCCTTGCTGCGGGCACGTGTTCACATATTTATCGAAGACCAGAGACGGATCGTCGACGTCCAAGTGTGGATCCGCGTCCAGGGCAGCTTCCAACCCAGCGAGACCTCCGAATACTACGAGGCAGTGGCGATACTCCAAGCTCCTCGCTTCCATCTCGTCGATCGACGTTCCCCTGTCGGATGTTCCGATCGTCAAGTCGTATCCCTCCTTGTACTGGCAATTCGTCAGCACCTCCGTCAGGTTCTTGGCCAGCCTAACGTTGTAGCCCCAATAGACACCGGTCTCCGCGCGCGGTGTGTTGGGCGACACAATAACACCCTGCATCTTCTTCCGATTTGGCTGATCCGCCGGTATCCTCACCGTCACCCTCAACCCAGGCATCAGCACCTTATCCACGTGAATCTCGTTCAACAGTCCCACATTCACCTGGGAACCCCTGCCGACCTTTATGGGCTTGTTGGTGACTATACCCTCCCGATACGAGAATTCGTCCTCCTGCCGCAGATGATGCGGCGCGTCCAACGGGTTCAACACACCCGCGTACTGCAGGTCCTTGTGGATCGGAAAGAAGTACTTGCGCAGGTACTGCGGGCACTCCATGTACTGCAGTATCCTGGCGAGCTGCAGACACCCGGCCCGGCCCTCGCCCAGCGCGTCGTTCTTCCTGGCCTTCCGCATCTCGTCCTCCGTGAGCTCGCCCTTGTCGTCGAACACCACGACCTCGTCCACCCTGTACACGCAGGCGGCACGCGCGATCTGTCCCGCCAGGTAGGTGCGCAGCTCCGGGGACTGCGCGTTGTCGAGGATCGACCCGGGCACCGCTATGCTGACGGTGCAGACGTCCCTGCGCACCTCGCGACTCGCATCGCCCTCCTCCGCGCGCTCGACCAGCGTCTCGTTCCTCGACTCCTCCTCGAGCTCCTTCTTCGCCCTCTTCGTCAGTTTTTCCTCCCTCCACTGTTTTCGAAGTTCCTTCCGTTTACGGTTGTACTCTTTCCAGCTCTTTACCTCAGGCTTTGCGGCCGACATTATTTCCTCCTCGGAGCTCACCTTAATTTCGCAGAGTCGGTATTTCGAAGATGATCGAGTTAATCTCATAACCTCACATAACCTTAAATCTGTTCGGTTGTTTGGAACTTCATAAATTTTTGCACTTAAAACGAGAGAGAGAATGCAAAGGTGTAAAAAGTGCAGCAACACGAACAGACTTATGTATACGCGGTGCCGTACGCTGATTGGCCGGCTTGACGTCATTCGCGACGCGCGCGACTTACAGAACGTATTGTATTTCGCGGGACGCGGCGGCCGCGGCAGCAGGTCGTTCGCTCGTCGCGCGGTTTATCCGACAAAGTTTGGAGATGAGTGAAAAATCGGAATGTTACATTAACGTTTTTCACCGTGATTTACTTAACGGACGCTTATCTCTCGATGGATATTTAAGTCAAACGCGTTATTAATCGTTAATCTGAAAATAAATTTGGCCATCTCTCGTTGGCGTTCTCGCGTCCCGATGAGCGGAGAGCGTGGAGCTTATGTAGAGTATACGAGTCCCATAATTGTCGGAGCGCGATTTAACGTGACGGAATACGCGGATCGTGTGAATTAAATAACGCAGTGCAGCGGTGTGTCGATGTTCATTGCATTTGCATCTCATGGAATTTGCATGAGTTCGCGAGTGCGTTTCGAGCGTACATTTTCGGACGGTTGGCTTGCAGGTTAAGTTCAGTTATAGCGCGTTTTCGAAATAATACGGAACGGGTTTTGTCGCTCCGAGAGCGATTATAATAAAGGTCGTCCAACCAGAAATCTAAAATATAGAGCATGTGATGCCATTAATCGCTCTCGGAGCGATCAAACCCGCTCCGTGTCCGAAAACGCTATTATAGCCAGTGTTGACTCGCGACTCGGCGTTAACTTCGCAATTTTCGCATTGACGCGTTCTAACTTCGGGAATAGCGTGCAAAAGTATTGTGTGATCGTCGTCCGCGTTTTCGCGAATACATATACATACATTTTTGGATGATTCACCGATCATGGTTCAGTTGATAGATATCAATTCGGCGTTAACTTAATTCGCGTATTTCGGGAATGGCACGCAAAGTGTATCGCGCGATCGTACGTTACCCGCGTTTTCGAGCGAGCGTCACATCGAGGGAGTTTCCTACGAAACTGAGAACTCGGATTCTTTGGTGAGTGTAATTGATTTATATATATTATTACGACATATACGAAAGTATCGCTTATGCCTCTTTATCAAATCGTGTTCTTTTTTAATAATTTAGATAATAATATTGTCATAACGATGCGGACGATGTCGCGTCGAGGGAATTCAATGAAGTTACTTCGAAAAGTCTGAGAGCTAGAGGCTTGGGAAAGGCATCGGGCTCCGGCGGAGCAACCTTGCGGTGAGTATTCATTATTTCTTTTTTGCGGAAAAGTTATTCGGTTTTTTTTCTATTTGTCTGGATTGCTTTTATTTCAATGATTTGAAAACGTAATTGCAAGGAAAAAGAAGTAATTTAAAATTCTTTATAGAAACTGGTTCGTATAAAGATTTTTGGAAAATATGTACGATTATTTTAGTAAATATATGTAATCGAAAGAATAAAAATTTTGTGTAGGATTCTTTCGAAGCATTGATTATTTTGAACGCTGCTTTAATTTGAATCTTTCATACGTGTGTTTACAGAATCGTCGTAGCTACGTGGCTGATTAACTCCGTTGTTGCGCATCGGTCGGTGAGTAAAAAAATATTTTATTAACAATAGGTCTTTTGTGTTTGCTGATTTTATGGCGATATAAAAAATGTTACTCATCTAAGTTCGTATTTTGAAATTGATCAACAAATTACAGTCAGATGACCAAAGAAATTCAAGCGCGATTATATATAACACGAGCCTAGATGATGATAATTTGAGAGATGTTTATTATTCTGTCAATGTCTTATACAACTGATCTTATAATTGATCACACAATTAATGTTTTTTATGATAAAGGAAAAATTATTGTTTCTCCAATCGATGCTATAATTTATAGCTAATGTGCAAACAATTATATTGTGTTTATTTTTTTATAAGAGAGAATATTTTTTGCCAATATGTAATACAAATTACATGTTCAGTCAAAATAATATATTTACAAACTGTATCTTTAGCCCCATAAAGTATCTATAGTATATGTATATATATATGAGCTATCATATTATAAATTGATTATATTCGCAACGATTAATGGGGAAAATTTGAGAATAACACGTGTTAGAAGATCCATTAGACAGAAGATCCATATTGCCAGCAGTTATTGATCTGCGTCCTTTTTCTTTAGAGTCTTCTCAACTATCAGCTGCCATTTGTCTGGTTGATTTGTTACGAACCAATTGGTTATTATGTCCATATTTTCCTTTCGCTTTGTAGTACATCTCTTGCACTGAGTTTGGTAAGCTTCGCTGAATATTTCTGAAATCAAAAGAATATTTTCTTATCAATAATTGGCAGTAATTATCGATTTTAACTATAATTATTAAGTGTATATTTATTAATTTAAATACGATATAATTAAAGCACAAGATATATATTCAGAAAGTCGATATTTTTCAAGAATAACGCACAAAAAGATATGTGTACAAAAAAAGATGAAAAATTAATTTTGTTCATGTTTCTGAAAAATCAATCATCCATTCAAATCATTATAAAATATAAAACAAAACGAATTGATGAATTCGTAAAATTCATAAATTCGTAAATAAATTGCACTAAGAATTATCTAATTTTGAACAAAACAAAATTAATTAGAAATTATTTTTATGTTGTCGAACATTCGACACGCATGTCGTCGTTATTTCAACTTTTGCACAATTCCTTTCAATTTTTAAAACTTGTATATATTATAATTGAGCAACAAATTAAAATTTTGTTAAAATAAAATCTGTTAAGATAAAACACTAGAAAAGTAAATGTGAAATCTTATCTTGTCATTTATTCCGTCTTCTGACAGGTCGTTAAAATCTTTTATTTGACATCATAGATTTTTTTGAAAACTAAGGGAATCCTTAATGCGTAACTTTGACGATACCGCTATGGAGAAAACGATTTTGTATTGACTAAAAAAGAAAAAAAAATTTTAAAGTAAAAGTATGTATAACTATATACCTCCTATTGTCTCCTGTTCTGGTGTGCACGGTCCTATTTCCATATAGCAATTGTAAAATTCTTCTCGTAAATCGTTGTTTTGAAGAATAGGTCGAAAATCGATGCGATCAAACATTTCGGGAGACTTTTCCTCTGCGAGAACGCACATTAGTGCGCTTACAGCAATAATTAACGCGATACGTTTTAATCCAATCATTGTTTCCACAGTTATGGTACGTGAGACACTAGCTATCCGATGCATTGTTATTTCATTTATATTTTTCACTTAATATACCACGTGATGTAATTTAAGACAGGTATATGCCAAATATGAACAGAGAAAATGATTGATTAAAGATTGAAAACATGCGCATGCATATATTTATTAATGCTTGTATAATCTATTATTAGATAATACAAATTATATTTTTCGTATCTAATTATTTATATTAAGCATTAAAAAAATAACTAATAATTTTGAATTCTGTGCTGAGATATTAAAAAATATGCAATACATAATTACTGTACAACGGAATTGTAATTTAATATTATTTAGAAAAGATAAATAAAATGTCAGTATAGCTTAGCAATAAATTGAAATTAAACAATAAAAGGCAATGAATGTTACATATATTGTTTAAATCCTCTACACGTTTCTTACACTAAGCCACCCTCAGTAGAAATATAAATCAAATAATAAAAACATACGTTTAACAAATTCGCGTATCAATCGTTCGCTGTCGATATATATGAGATTTCTTTGTGATGTTTGCAGATCGTCGTCTTTATTCATAAACTACGTAATGATAAAAAATATTAGTCCAGTCATCCGTTCCGGGAATGTTACGCAATTAATTACCGATGTACAGGGGTTGTCGCCACCGAGCAATTGAGAATTGTAATAAATCTTACACTTTTCTGACAAGATAAAGATATGTCTTGTTGCTTGTGACAAGTAAGATTAACTCTGTACATCGATAATTAATTGCGTTACATTCCCAGAATGGATGACGGATGACTGGGCTAATATTTGTTATCATTGCGTAGTTTATGGATAAAGATGACGATCCGCAAACATCACAACGAAGAATCTCATATATATCGACAGCGAACGATTGACCACAGATATGCGAATTTGTTAAATGTATGATTTTATTATTTGATTTGCTTTTCTACTCGTCGAGAATGGCTTAATGTAAACCGAAACATGTAGAGGATTTAAAAAATATATGTAATATTCAACACCGTCATCCAGCATAGCTTTTTATTGTTTGTAGTTACAATTTCAATTATACAAAATCTTCCATAAAATTATATATCGGTGTGCTTCAAGCGTGAATATTAATAACGTGATAATTAATAGCGTTTTCGAGTGCATTGGGTTTTGATTGATCCGTGATCAATTAATGGCGTCACATGCTCTATTTTGGTTTCTGATTGGACGAGATCTTAGTATTCTCGGTTTTTTATTTCAAACGTTTCAACTTCGATTAAAAATTCACTGCTCTAAAACGTTAAAGATTGGCCGACGACATTTTGAGTGCTGCAATAATCGTTTCGATATTTGGAGAATCGCGTCTGCCGTCAGGAAATCCCGCCACAACTATCAGAAAGTAAATTGCACGCGTAATAGATGTTGTAAAATAAATACACATTTGTCATAACGTGTTAAAAAATTAAAAAGATGTAATTTTATTCTGGTAAAAAACAAATTTTGTTAAAGAAACGAGTATACTAGGCATATTTAATCAAGGATATGGAATATTCCTCCAGCAAATTTGCATTTAACTTACGAAAGCATGACACATTTAAATTGCGCATATGAATGCCTTATCGTTGCTACTCGATTTAATTCTCTCGGTTGATTGCGTAGCGTCCAATCGGTACATTACATCGACACTTTGAAGTTGATTGTGTCAAAGCTACAGTGCAATTTTTATCGATTTCCGTTGTTCTGACGTTCATCGTCATTATCTAGTGCATTTTGAAGTTTCATAGAATTATAATACCTAATCACATCCATATTTCTGCTATTAAATATAAAAAATTGTACATATAGTACATAATAAAAGCATTTATTACATAAGAATAAATAAAAAAAAACACTAAACTATGTGAAATAAATAATAAATAAAGCATATATGATAAAAAAACATATATAATATAAACATTTTTAATAAAACATCTTTTAAATTTAAAACAGTTTTAAATATTATGAGATTTAAAAAAAAAATTATATTCTAATAGAAGTTAATTCTATGTACATTTTAATTAATATTAAAGAAAGCTCTGTTATCTTATTGTGTGTAAAAGAGTTACATGTACGCATATGTACTTTTTTATGCCATAATTTTATGTTACGTTTTTTCAAAAAAAAAAATGAAAGAGGGATAAAGATGTTTACAGATCAGTAAAAGGAGTCTTGTAGCATAAAAGAACTTGGGAAAATTTGAGAATAACACGTATTAGAAGATCCATTAGACGATTATGCCAGTAGTTAGAGTCTTCTCAACTATTGTAGATATTATGGAATGTGAGACGGAATAACTGAAACTAAATTTCACCTTGGTCACGACGGTCTTTTTTGTAGGGAAAACGCGAAGAAAAGGAATCGCAGTCAGCGAGTGAAAAAGAAATTGTATATTTATATTATTATATTATTATATTATACAATAAATAATATAATAATATTATATAATAAGGTAAGGGATGTTTTATTATGTCATTAATAATGGGTTTTCTGTGTTTTCAGCTTGATTTTATGTTACTTATTAAAGCTTATATTTTCAAATTGATCAACAAATTGCAGCCAGACAAGAAATTCAAGTGCGATTTTAACATAAGCTTAGATGATGATAATTTGAGAGATATTTAGTATTCTGTCAATGTCTTATAACAACTGATCTTATGATTGATCTTATGATTGACAATGAATGTTTTTATGATAAGGAAAAAATTATTGTTTCTCCGCACGAAGCTATAATTAATGTGCAAAAAATTATTGTTTATTTTTTATAAGAGTACATATTTTGTTTTTAATATATAATACAAATTGCATGTTAGTCAAAATAATTTTTACAAACTGTACCCGTAACCCCATAAGTAGTATTTGAATTCTCATATTATAAATTAATTATATTTACATCTATTAATTGGAAAGATTTGAGAATAACACGTATTAGAAGAGCCATTAGATGATTTTGCCAGTAGTTATTGATCTGCGTTCTTTTTCTTTAAATTGTTTAGAGTCTTCTCAACTATTAGTTGCCATTTGTCTGGTTGATTTGTTACGTACCAATCGGTTATCATGTCCATATTTTCTTTTTGCTTTGTAGTACATTTTTTACATTTAGTTTGGTAAACGTCACTGAATACCTCTGAAATCAAGAGAATATTTTTTTATCAATAATTCATAGTAATTATCGACTTTGCTCCTGATTATTGAGTGTATATTTATTAATTTAAATACGATATAATTGAAGCACCAGGTATATATTCAGAAAGTCGATATTTTTCAAGAATAATACACAAAAAGAAGATGAAAAATTAATTTTGTTTCTCTCTCTCTCTCTCTCTCTCTCTTTCTGAAAAATCAATTATTCACTCAAATTGTTTTAAAATATAAAACGAATTGATAAATTTGTCAAATTCGGAAATTGCACGAAAATTTTTTTATTATTGAACAAAACAAAATTAATTTAGAAATTATTTTTATGTTGTCGAACTTTCGACACATATGTCGTCATTATTTTCAACTTTTGCACAATTCTTTTTAATTTTTAAAATTTGTATACACTATAATTGAGCAACAAATTAAAATTTTGTTAAAATAAACTCTGTTTAGATAAAACACTAATAGTAAATAGAAAATCTTATTTTATCATTTATTTCTTTTGTTCATTAAAATTTTTTATTTAACATCATAGACGTTTTTGGAAATTATATAGATACTTCGAGGTTATCATTAAGGAGAAAATGATTTTGTATTGACCACAAAAGGAAAAACAATTTAAAAGTAAAAGTATGTATAATTGTACCTCCCATCTTTATCTGTTCTGGTGTGCACGGTCCTATTTCCATATAGCAGTTGTAATATTTTTCTCGTAAATCGTTGTTTTGAAGAATAGCTCGAACATCGAGGTGATTTAACACTGCAGAATAGAGATCTTCATCTGCGAGGACGCACATTAGTGTGCTACTGCTTATAGCAATAATAATTAAAGCGATGCGTTTTAGTCCAGCCATTGTTTCCGCAGTTATGGTACGTGAGACACTAGATTTCCGATGCATCGTTATTTCATTTATATAGATTTTATATGATATATGACGTGATGTAATTTAAGATAAATGCAAAATATGAACAGAGAAAAAAATTGATTAAAAATTGAAAACATCCACATGCATTTTTATTAATGCTTATATAATTATCTATTGCGAGGCAATATAAATTAGGTTTTTCGTGTCTCAATATTTATATTAAGCATTAAAAAATTAGTTAATGAAATATTAAAAAATATGCAATATTTAATTACTGTCCTACGAAATTGTAATTTAACATTAGAAAAGATAAATGAAGTGTCAGTATAATAGACTCATTGACATTATGTACATAATAAAAGGCAAAAGTTGAATGATGATGCTGAATGTTACATATATTTTTTTAAATCCTCTACGTTTTGGCTTACGCCATTCTCAGTAAAAATATAAATCAAATCATAAAAACATACGTTTAACAAATTCGCATATTTGTGGTCAATCACTTGCTGTTAATATACATATTTGAGATTCTTTGTTGTGATGTTTGCGGATCGTCTTTATTCGTAAAGCCTTAAACACAATAAAAAAGAATTGGAGCAGGGAACAGAGAATAAAAATGTCAACCTATCAGAAACCGTGTATTCCATAGTATACAGTTTTTGATAGGTTGACATTCTTATTCTCTATTTCCTGTTTCTATTCCTTTTCATTGTGTTTAAGGCTTTTAAACTTCGCAATGATTAAAAATATTAACCATCATCCGTTCCGAGAATGTCAATTAATTATCGATGTACAGAGATTGTCGCCACCGTCTAAGCAGTTGAGAGTTGTAATAAATTTTTTATTTTTCCAACAGGGAAGATGTGTCCTGTTGCTTGTTATAATTAAGATTAACTTTGTACATTGATTGCACGACATTCTCAGAATGGATGATCACTGACTAATATTTTTAATTATTGCGAAGTTTATGGATAAAAATGACAGATATGCGAATTCGTTGAACATATGTTTTTATTATTTGATTTGTATTTCTATTTAGGATGGCTTAATGTAAGCCGAAATATGTAGAAGATTTAAAAAAATATATGTAACATTCAGCATCGTCATCCAGCTTATTGCCCTTTATAATATGTTATATATATGTTTTATTTATTAATTATTTATTTTA